TTTTATTAACCATTATTCCATACATTTCAATGCCCAGGAACAGAGAAAAAAATATAATTCTTTTCTTGAATCAATAATACAATAAATAAGTCAAAAAAGAATTAAATCCAAAAACAACTATTATTTTTTCGTATTAAACATTGTTCTACAAGCATATAATAAATATATACCTCAGCTGGGGATTATTTTTATTTATCGCAGATTTTATTTGCTTTTCATTTCCTATTTGTTTTTAATATTTTTGCATCGCTAAAGCTCTTTGCTGTTGTTTTTTTTTTTTTTTAATTCAATCATATAAAAAAAACACTAAAAGGAAGATTAAACATAACTATAAAGGAAGCTGACTTCGTTCAGCAGACGTTTCTATACCCTTGCAGGTGGCAATTGGATTATGAAAATTGGTCATAACGCAGCCAAAATACGGCTGTTGATGCTGATCAAGAATATATATAATTTATAGGGTTGGGAACGACTCCATCATTAAGAACACCTTAAAAATATCTATTTTAGGAATCTTAGATCGATATTTCTATACCCTTGCAGTGTATTAGAATTTTAGGATCGAACGAAAATATATTATATCTGTTATTTGAACGATCGTTAAATGTAAATGTAAAGCTGTAATATTAATATGTAATATAAGTAATAAATAATGAAATGAAATTGGGAATTAATTCGTTGTTATTTAAAAGAAATATATATATAATTTATATTGTTTTAATTATCAAAGATCGAATTGCAATCTCAAAGAGTATACATTCAAACTACGGCATACGTGGCTCTAACTCTTTACCTCAGCCTCCCTGCCTCTCGCTCTCTTTCTTTCTCTTTACCTGTAGAGCTTACTCGTTCTCTGCCTATCTCTAGAGTGCTCTCTTTCTCTATTCTCTTTGATCGAGGACTATAAATAGAGGCGCTGCCGGCGCGCTCCCCTCATTCTGTCCGAGGTGAGGCTGCTGTTAACATCGTCGTGATAAGTGATAGTGGCAGTAATAGTGATCACCCTTCGCCTCCAAAAATATTACGTGGCCAATCATCTGGATTTGGAGACCAGGAAGAAGCTCACTTCGATGAGTCAGCAAGAATAAGCCATGACGTGTTCTCTACTGCGGTAAGTCTCAACCATGACAATTATATAATATACAATTATATTAAGTAGCTGCTATAGGAGGGATCAGACCCATAGCCTAACAGTCTAACAGCCTAACTTAATAATAAATTAATCACGAATATTACTATAGTTTCAAAACTCACCCTGCCAGCTTTTGCTACATTATTATAAACAATTTTAGTTAAAAGCTTGCAAGATAGTGAAAAGGTCGTTTTCGACCCCATAAATCATATATATTCTTGATCAGCATCAACTGCTGTGTTGATCTAGCCATGCCAGACAGAAAAAAATTATATACATTTTTGTAAAAATTTTATAAGGGGTTCCATCGTGCAGATTTGTAAAATTTATAAAAATTGGCTTAGGAAAGTTTTCCGAATTGAAAATTATGAGTTATTGGCAAAGTTAAGATATTTAAAAAGCTTAGATTTACCCAAAAAATGAGCATATAAAAATATCTATTAAATACGAGATTAATGCATCCTTGGCCTAGTTATGATCGGTTTCACATTCGAAACACGTCCGCTTTACTGCATGGCAAGCTTCTGACTTAAATAATAATATTCTTTAAAGGTATAATAAATACATTTTTAAATGCATTTACTGAGGGCCATGCCTTTTTCCTCATTTTATATTAATGTGTTGACCAAGATTGTTTTATGATGTTATTTAAAAACCTTGCCAATTATTATTTCCCCTTTTTCGTTTTCCAGGTCACACACAATACTTTCCCCGATTAATTTATGATGTTGAATTGCCCTCAATTAAAAGCTTTTTATGCATGTCTTCCTTAATCGGCAGGTGCACATTTTTTCGCAAGAATAATCAACTTTTTGACCTTTTTGGCGTATGCAAACAGCTTTGACATCCTGTCAAAAGGACGCGGAACTCTGTGGCGCTTTTCATCGTTGATTGTGTAAAGCCCAGGGCCACTTAGCGACTGAAATGCTGCACTTCCTCGTTGAATTTTTCACACTGCCAGTATCCGAGACTCCTCCACCAGAAGTTGTTATTTTTTGCCCCATTTCGCAGATTGCACAATCAGGTAACTGTAACGGTTTTACAAAGCCAGGAGAGTGTCCTGGCAGCTCGTCAGGCGGCTTAGCAGTTAAATGGCTACAACAGTTTCAGCCGTTAAAACCGCATTTAACCCTGGGCCAAGTGGTGGCTCCCGCAGACGGTTTCATTTAATCGAAAAGCTGGCTTTAAAGCACCAGTCTCAGCACCGCATCGAGGAATCGCTTTATGCCTTGGCTTAGTTCCGGGAAAATTGCTGTGGCTAATGGCTATTTATTATCGAATATTTGCGCAACTAATGCTGACCAGGAATTCGGTTTGCTTTGTTGAGCACCAAGTTATGAAGGTTCGATGGGCGGATTAACGAAGGAATCCCAGGGAATGGGCACTGGAATACCCTCGACAGTATGTCTGGGATTGCCCCACCTGCTGGGTACCAAAATAAAAAAAAAGGTTAGACAAAGTTTTTTTCTTTACTTAAATTCAAAGGCCAGCAGAGTCAACAGTTTTTAAAACCGCAAATGGGGAAAGCACGAAAATTTGGCCATGAATGAAAGCCATAAAAAGGCCAAGAGAAGTCGCCCGGAGAGTATCAATAAAGGCCGTGTAAGCCGCCGGGCAGAGTAAACGAAGGCGAAAGGTCAATGTAAAAAGTGCCAGGCCACAATAAAAAGAAACAGTCGCCGCAGCCACCACTAAAAAAAATCGCAAAATGGGAAAAACTGAAGAAAAGCTGAAGGCGGCAAAGGCCAACGATGCGTGCACATAAAAAGGCAACGGCAATACGCACAAATATACATTGTAGAATGCCTGTAAATATATATAAATACACAAGTTGCGGTGTTGTAATTACACAACTCGACGTGGATATACCCTAGATTGTAAAGCTTACTTAATTCCGAAACAAAATTATATGTAAAGTTTCAGTTTTTCATGAGATTTACAAAACAACTTAGTTATAGATAAATTTTGTGGTGAAATAAGCATTATAATTTCTTTACAATATACGATTTTACCTCACTTAAAACTTATATTCATTTAATTAAGTCACATTATATTTATTTTAAGGCTGCTTTTTTTTAACAGAACACTTTGAACTAAATATTTCTTGCAATAAATTGGCACACTTAGTATGGTAAACCCTTAAAGATATTCCCCTTCAGGTCATAAAAATATTTATGCCCTCTTTATTATACCTGCCTAAAAACGTATATGAAAACTGAAAATAAATATAAAATCACACTCTATAAATTTAAAGCCTTCCACGTGAATGGCCCTGGCAAATGTCTCCCAAACTACCCATAAGTTATAAAAATATACAAGGTATTCGCAATTTCAGAGACAGCCCGTAAAAGCCGTTTGGAAAAAAGAGCGAAAGTATCCGGAAGGATATCGCGACCGCGCCTGGGAATTTGAATACAAACGCACCGCGCCACTCGTAAACTTAAAGCTATTTATTTAATTTTTTAAAGCACGCAATTTACATTAAAGGCTGAGGGGGAAACCGCCAGAAGCGTTGAAGCCGTGGGAATAGGGAGACAAAGGAGACATTGTTTTTCCAAGGAATCAATTACATCCTTAGTGCGCCCAAGGAACTCATCTTCCTTTGCAGTGTACCTCACTCTCCCTCCCTCTCCCTGTATCGACTTGCTTTGGCTGCAAGCGATTTTTTGATTAGCTTCCGCCCACTCAGGGTCCTGAGCTTGGAGTCCTGCGAAGTTGGACGGGAAGCCAGTGGGGCAGGGATAATGCATGGGATGCCAAGAAGGAGGAGCAGGTAATAAAATAATAAAAATTCTGTTTTGATTTCGGCCTTCCTTTCCTCTTCCCGGGTTCCCCTGGTTGCCGTTGCAAACCATCTTCCAAATACGATGACGTACACGCACCCAAAAATAGCAACAGCTTGCTTAAAAAGATAACAAGAATGGAAGCTGACATCGTCACGCCGAAGGTTGTATACCCTTGCAGTTCGATCACTAGGAATTAATGAAATATAAAATATAAATATGTTGAAAATCAATGATGTAATGCATGCTTTCATTTCATTCACCTACACATTTTTTATTTACAGTTTTACATTCACCGTTTAGCATTCTCCTCTATTTTTAATATACATATAATTGATATATATATTAAATTTGATGCAAATTTGTTGAAGACTAGAAAAGTTAGAATTTATATATTGAAAGTTTTACGATCGTTTCTATGGCAGCTGTGTATATGTATATAGTCCACCGATTCGGCATGCTCCGACTTATATACTAGTAAAATTATATAGTCGAATAACGGCATAGTTTCATTCAAATAGCTTGCTCTTAAATTTGTTCCAAAACAAATCTCGCACATCTGTGCATATGATTCTCAACTGGTTCTGACATCCCCGGAACGAAGTGACTTCTGCCGGCCAAGTCTCAGATACGTCTTGTCTTACAAAAGTTGCAAGTCATTGTTTATTAGTGTTCATATATACTTACTGGTCATAGATACTTCCTGGTCAAAATTACTTCATGGTCAAAGTTACTTACTGTTCATTGATACTTACTGAACATACTTAATTACTCATCATAGTTACTTACTGATCATAGTTAATTGCTGATCATAGTTACTTACTGATCATAGTTACTTACTGAGCATAGTTCTATAAATCGTCCGATTGTTCCTGTCAGCTTAATATATATGAACATATATGATATAAGTAGTCGACCGATTCGCCATCCTCCGACTTATCTTCTAGTGATATAGAAGAATAACTGCATAGTTTCACTTCAAATATAAATAACAATACTCCTGCTAAAAATATATTTATTTAACATTTCAATAGATTAATACAAGCTTTGAACTTTAACAAAATACAACTAAAGCCATCAAGTAGAGTATCTCCCAAGCCCACATAGGATATGTGTACACCTTGTTTTTCCTCTTTGTTTGCTGAATTTTTCACGTGTTATGGCAACCAGTCGTCGAAATAACAAGGAGCCCATCAAACAGCAGACATGGCCTCAGCTCCTGGCGTCGGCGAAGCCAATGCGATGCCTTCCCATGTCGAATTCCGTATAGTATTTTCCCAAAAAGACATCCCCCAGTATCCACAGGGGTCCGCGAGGCGATGGCAAATCCACGGCGATGAAGGCGGAAAAGCAGGTCTTTCGATCCCGAAAGACATACTCGTGACCGTCCAGGAAAAATTGTCTATCTCCCAGAGTGAAGGTGATCGTGGGCAGCTTCGAAACCGTATTACAATTTACAAAGAACTGGCCATAAGGTGATGGCCTTCCGCCAATGGATTCGTTGATAAGTATGGCCTGGTCGTAGGGCAAGGCCAGGAAGGAGGTGCCCGTATCTACAATCACTTCGCAGCCATCATGGCACAGTTCCATACCCTTGATGATGGCCGAATTCATTTTCACCTGCCAATAGGCTCGATAGCTCACCGGGACGTAGGTGAAGTTGCCGGTGTAAAAGTCTGGATTGGAGCCGCCAAAGAAGATGAAGCCGCCCTCCGATTTACCCTTCCTGTTCAGATAGACACTAAAGACGGGCTCTGAAAGCAGTCCTTGTTCCATCATCGCATAAAATGGAGGCTTCACCCGCATCATGGAAATGCTCCTGTAGCCCAGACCAAAAATTCCATCGAATTTGGCGGCCAAGAAGATTGGTCCAGGCATATCAGTGGCCTCGGCAAATATTTGATTCTCGATCTGCAGACCAGCTATTCCGATAGTATCCCTTGAGAGGAACCCCGAGAGACTTCCACTTCCGTAATGGATAGCAAATGGGTTCCCCTGAGCCCTATAGGAGGATGACTTTTTGGCGTAGTACCTATTGTGGACACGACAGGCCACCATTGAGTAGGCACAGCGACCGGAGGGCACCCACAGATTCGAGGAACCAGTGTCGAAGATCACGTTGAAACTCTGCGGCGGAATTCCAACGGTGATGGGTCCAAAGTACTGGGCGTCCAGGTAATTGCTTAGCGGCACACTCTTAGGCTCCTCCCGCACTAACTCCCAATTATTGTACCGGTCCTCGGTGTATTTCAGACGCAGCCTATCCATCCGGATGCCCAGCTTCTCAAAGCGATGACGAGCGGAAGGAAAACGATGCAACGGGACTGTAAACAGCTCTCCGTTGCAGACAACCGGAAGTAGCAGCAGCAACGGAAATAGCGGAAATAAATGCCACATAATGCTATCAAAAGCGGATAAGCAATAGTCGAGCTCCACGTCGAAACAAGGTTGAAAGTGACAGTTTTCAAAGGCAAGTCGATACGATAAAGCGTTGGGAAAGTGAAAAACAACACCCACGCAACTTGTTGCAAAATAAATTGTGATTAAATATTTCCATTGCATATGCGCTGCTTCCGATTTCAGCATAAAGAAGATTTGTTGTACGGATTCGAACTACTGTTACCTATTAGAGGGGTATTGCCCACCTTTAGTTTTCTTTCTTTCAAGCTTCAGTATTATCAAAAAATATAAAGTTCAGTATTAAAATACTTGAGAAGAAACCTAATTATTGTGATATATTGGACATTTTCCAATAGACAGCTTAGCCTAATGACACATTTCTTGAGAACCTTTCATGTTTCATTTCAACAAATTCAACCTATTTCGCATTCTTTTGACATTCATATCACATCAAAAAAGCCATAGCCCCTTACCCTGCGTTATAAGTACCCAGCAGCATAAAAATTTCCATGAAAATGTAATTGGAAATGTGAAACGTCTGTGTGGCGGCACCATTTTTCGAATCGAACTCCCATCGAATATGTACCAGGGGGCAAGGCGAACGAGCGGAGCAGGGAAACCTATTCATTGCAATGCGAAATCGTCGAAAGGTGTCGAGTTCGAGTCGAATCAATGTACGAATCAATACCATATACAAAAGGCGAATACTTGCACTGAGGGGGAAAGGGCTTCTAATTGTAGTTCTTTCTGCTCGATTGCATTTTCATTTCGCACTTTGCATAAAGAGATCTGCTCAATTGCTTGTACACGAGTGTCTATCAAATGTGTTTTTGTCCTGTGTGGGGCAGCGGAGAACTTTCAGGGGTAAACATCGTTGGAGGAGCTCCAATTAAAACGTCAGCCCAGTCTGGCTAATGCGACAATAACAAGTCTCACACTGGGGGCCCTCGAATGATAACACAAACCAAAGGACCCAGGACCCAAATACAAAAATCCCGAAAACCTTTTCAGACGTCGCTGCCAGCTGTCAGTGACAGGCCACACCTGTGCTAATGGGGGACCAGAAATATCCAACAATGGCGGGGATGGCATCCTTTGCATTATTCTTATCCCAGCAAGTCGCCTTCTGAGGGCTTGCCGGCACAATTAATTATTGCATTTCACTCCTGGCATAGAGCCGAAAAAAAGGATTGGCAGGGAATCCGAATGCGAGCACAAGCACTCACAGGTTAATTGAAGGCGACTTTGCTTCGTCCTGGGCAAATAACATTATCGGCAGAATTCAAATTGCATTATCAGCCATTAGGCAAAAAGGCAGGAGAGTTAAGCAGGCACTCATTGAATTAGGCAAACACAATTAAAGTTAGGGGCAGGACAACTTTTGGCTGTCAGGAAAATCAGCAAAATCAGTCACTGGGACAGAGTTAAAGTCGAAAGTCATGTCGGTGACAGGAAGTGGACTGAATGGGGCAGAGAATGAGGTTGGGGCTGAGGCTAAGGCTGAGCTGTTGTGAAAAGCTGTCACCGAGTGTCAGGAGCCAAAAAGAAAACTTGTGTGTGGCAACACTTGTTGATTTTTTGGTAAAACGAAACGAAAAGTTTGTCGGTTTTTTTGCCCAGTTTCTCCCCGGGTTTCCTGTTGTGCCGCCTCGACCTGTGTCCACCACAAGGAAAAAGGTAAACTCCGTCTTAAATTGGAAAGCGGAAATTGCAGGCAGGCAGCGGCAGCGGCACCACATTTTGTATTCTTTGATGCTTATAAATTAGGTTTGGTTTCTGCCAAATAAAAAAAAAGAAAAACCCAAACCGAAAAAAACAGGCAAACGAATTCCCAGCCTGCTAATACGAAAGAGATAGAGTTCCAAGGATGCCCAGTCCACACAGCTGTCCAAAAGTTTTTGGCCAAGAACTGCAGGCCATGTGGTCTTCTTGGCCTTCTTTCTTCTCCATTTTCCCCTAAAACAAAACCAATTATAATGTGAAACTTTCGCTCAGCTATCTATATCTATATAGCAAAAAGGGGTGCTTAGCTCTTTAAATGGAGATGCCTTTAAAGTACACGACTATGTTGTGGAAATGGCAAAAAAATAAACATTTATATATACAGTAGACTGACTTGTTGCCGTTTTAAATTATTTATGGGCCAATTAGTGGGGTTGAAAACCAAAACCGAAAACCAAAAAACAGGCAAACTCCGAATTGGGTTTCCAGTTTATTGATTTGTTTCGCAGCAGGCGAAACTTTTACCCCCTCAGCCAGTTGGCAATCCCTTTAACCCAAACAGGATTGTTGGGGAAAATATGAACAAGGACTCGCCGAGTGTTTTGTGTGAACTCGAACTCGCATCCTGTGTATCATGTTTTTCCGTATTTTCCCCCGCGGCAGCCTGCATTACTCAGCTGCAAGTGTCAATGGAGCAGCTGGAATATGGAAATAAATTGCCATTACCATGAGATGTAGAATAGTGCGGGGAAATGGAAAAGGACCTCCCTGCCAACACGGGAGGTGTTAAATTTCTGCAGGATTACAGGGCGGAAGGATAATGCGGTGCTGTGTCAGTTTATGAGGCAAAGTGTGATGAATAAGTGCCAGGGAACAGGAAGAATCGAGATGTGATGGTCCTTAAGCGTTCCTCTTAACTCATTAACTCGCTGATTTTCGCACTTAAGACCTGCGGTCATATTAAGCGGCTTAAAGGCCGGGAAAGTGGCTTTTGCCTTCGGCATTGATTGATATCCTGTGAAGCAATCAATTAAGAGAAACACTTTGTGCTGGATTTTGATTGATTTTTCTCTGGCATAAACACCGACGAAATATAAAGCCATCACCCTATATTGGAGTAATTAGTATGCATTGCCGATATCACGGGACTTTAGTTGGCGAACCGAGTGCATATATGCTGGCTGGGGCTCAACTCCACTGCCAGTGCCAGTGCCAGGAACAGCAGCTGTCCCAATTCGATTTGCATAAAGAATGTCACCCTCTTTTCCCATGGCAGCCTGAGGAAATTGTTTTTAAACCGTCATCAGCAGGAGGATTGCGGAAGTTTACTCTATACTCCTGTCTGCCTCGCTGACAGCTTTAAGTTGTCGCCGGCGCCAGTTCAAAGTTCTCAGAACAATGACAGAATTGTTTAAGCCGGCAAAGAGCAAATATTTAATTAGCCCCGACCCCGAGGGGAATGGAGGCTCACTCCCTAAGCATTTGAGCTTTGTGAGCAGGAGCAGGGCACATGTCCTGCGGCCAAATACTTTGGGTAACCACAGTCAGTCGAGCGTGAGGCCGCGTCAGAAGGAATACACTTTATGTCCAAGGACTTTTGGGGGGAATTTCAGCCGCCAACTAGGCGCTAACTTTTTGCCTATTCATAATACATGGCCCAACGCATAATTAAAGAGATTCGCAGTGGGATCCGATACACATAAATCATGTAGCGCCTGAATGCGCAACTCTTTGAATGGCACCGGGTTCTTTTTTTAATTATAGCGAAAGTTTCACTGCAGAACGTGTGTTGTGGATAATGGTGTATTATTAATTCAGATATTTAATACCGATTTTCGATCAATATTAAATCGAAATACCTAATTCTTTTCAACGTTTGGTTTCTGTAACACACAGACAATTTATTTCATACTTCTTTTAGATTCATTTTTCTCTCAGTGAAGTATTTCCACCCTTTTATCCCTGAATATACCTCAGTAACCAGTGTTTTCCCCTCATTTAAATGTATAGGTATATTTTTGTATTCCCCGCCTTTGACCTGATGCCGACGTGTTAACGTCTCAGTTACTGCGCCGTTCCTTAAATTCCCCTATCCTTGAGATTTTTGGGAAAGCGGTGGCGGAGGGCGTTAATTAAAGCAACTGGCGAACCCTTTGAAAAAGATTTCATTTCATTTCATGTATAGTGGGCGCCTAAGCGACTTTTAATTGAGTTCCGTTTCTCCGCAGAGCTGGGTGTTGCTGAAGTTGCCATTTTATGCGCACAATTTGGTTAATTAAAATGCTACAATTGCGTTGGCATTTTTGTGGCACCCTTTTCCCCTCTTATCAGGCCGCTCCAGGTGCTGGCAAGTGTCCTTGTCGCCAGGACTCTCAAGGCGCGACAGCTGCACACGACGCATATGTTGACGGAAGTTCAAAAGTTGGGGGCGGGATGGGAGCCATTGAAGTTAAGGTGGCCATTGAAGTTAAGGACTTGCCACACATCGAAGTGATTCCATTTAAGCAGTTGCCACACATTGAGTACAAGTTGCGCTGCGAGTTTGTTTGGATTGCTTCCTTCCTTCTTTTTTAGTAAATTTAATTCCTTTAAAGTTTTATTCTCGCGGAAAGTTGGGCTTTTCAATTAGGCTAAGAGCGGAAACGTGGCTACCGCAATCGCCACTTCCGGCGGATATATAAAACCATTACAACTGCGAAGGAAAGAAAGAAAGAAATCTCTGCATATCAAATGAAGAGAACGACAAACATTCTGTGCATATTTCGTGCACATTAAACATTCATTTCTATTTTTTATTTTTATTTTTTACTCGTTTTCGGCTTGCATCTGGACAAACAGAGGAGTAGTTGGAGTGAAATATTTACATTTGTATTCGCCTGTATAGTTATTTTTTGTTGGACTCTTCCTTTGTCTGCGTTTAGCTTCAGGATAGTTTGAACGGTATTCGAAGGGAGTTTAAGGACTTTGAATTCACTAAGAATATACACAGAAATCTGTTGTTTATTTTAAAAAATCGAATAAATATTTACTTAGAACATATATGTATTTAGACACCTCTAAACTTAATTTTAACTAATAATAAAGTATTATAATGGCTGGGTATCTGATAGTCTTGGCAAACGAAAAACACCAAAACGAACCTTTCTAGTTTTTATCTGTACTTGCATGGCCACTCCTCATGCAACATTTATGAGCGTTTTCGGGGGCTCTTCTGGCAGTAGTTTCCATGAATTTTGAGCTCGCCGAAATGTGTGCAACATTTTGAGCTTAATATTTCCAAGGGACTCTTGACTAAAACGCTAAGTGCAGAAGCCATTTGGATGCTAAGTTCCCTCAAAGTTGACCTTTGAAGCGGAACTGGGAGAGGGAAGTAGAAGGGCAGAGGAACCTTTTTCTCAACTTGGGTCAATTAACTCATTAAACTCTGCACTGTATTTGCCTCGCTCAGGTCCAATTAGCGAACAATTAGGCCTGGCCATGGGCAGATTTTTCACGAGCAACCGAAATTTCTATCAATTATAAATGTAATTGAGGGAAATTAAAAGGTAAGAGGTGGCCGAAAATGTACTTAGGAGACGCGGCTACTCCTTGTCGTTTTCAGGGTTTATTAATACCAAACGAAATCCTTGATAAAGCCAAACAGACCACCATTTTCCTTCTGTTCTGTCAGCTCATAAAATGTGTGTGTTTTGATAGAAACTTTCTTCTGGCCATGAAACTTTTGCACTCAGATTATCGTGCGAGATTTTTGAGAGCTCCTCGCCACCGCTGCGTACTGTTGGCTCGCCAAACTGTTGCATCCTTTTAGCCAAGTTCCGTCGAGTTCAACATGTGTTTGCTATGTCAACTTTCCCTTCAACTTTTTTGCCATATTTTTCATAACGAAGCGGGGCCTCCAAAGTTTTCCCCGCTCTTTGTGCAATTCCCGGAAATTTATTGAATACACATAAGCTCTGGCATCATCAAAGAATATAAATCCCAGTAACACAATGAATAAAATAATCCAATGAATTACACCGAAGTAAATAGATATTTCTTTATTTAGATGCTCGGTTTTGTGAGATGGGAACATTGTCCACTTTGAGTTACATTCAACAGCTACTACAGATGGAGGACATAGCGGAGGGGAGTTTACAATTTTCCTATGGGAATTGGGACTCTCGGCGGTCCACATATTGGAGTGTAGTACAAGTAGACGACATCTAACAGTTTAAAACAATGAACCTTACTTAACTGGGGCGCCTGCTGGTACTTGGTTTCGATTTTCATCGCACTCCTCTTAAAATAGTACTTGTACTAGCTAACTAATCGCATACGCAGATCTGTGGAATTCAATGAAAGTTCAGTCTCTTAAGATGCAGTTGCCTGGCTAAAATCGTATTCGTCTACACGGAGTTCTCCTCGAGTCCCTGCTGCAATTTGAAAACAATTAGTCAGGGGATTGGCGGAGGACTTCCTCCTGGACTCACCCTCATCAGGGGACTAATGGCCCGGGGCATCACGCTCAGAGTGCTGCCGGAACTCATGGCACTGCCCCCCACCAGAGTGGGCATGGTGTGCAGGGCATTGTTCGATCCCCTGTGGATGGAAAGTGGAGCATGGTGACCCACCAGCGTAGTGGTGGTGGCCGAGCTCACGCAGGACTCCCGCTTCCCGCGGCCATAGTAACTGGTTAGGGGTCTGCAAAAAGGAGAAGAGGTCATCTAATCCGGTTACATCGTCCTCAGTTAGTCCTGGCTACTTACCGCATGCTCTCGGCTCGAGGGGAACCACCGCCTTTCGTGAAACTTTTCGTCGTGTATCTGATGGTAAGGATTACACCAGGAGAAATTGTAAGTGAAAAGTCTTATCTTCAGCTTTAAATGTCTTGTTTACAGACTCACCTTCTGTTCTGGTTGAGCTGGATGGTGCGCGTGTCCCGCCACGTGGAAATGTGATGTCTTAGTGCATTTCGCACCTCTGAGTTCAGGAAACAGTAGAACAGCGACACGGAGAAGCCCTAGGAGAGACGACACACATCCTGGCTTAAGCGCAAAGAGAAGGCTACGAGGAGACGCAAAACCCACCTGAGTGCTCAGTAGAACAGCTCGCAGAACCGCAAACATGTGACCCATTAGGCCAGACTCCGAGGGACCGGCTAATACCACTAGGTAGGTGATGCCGAAAAGCGGAATGAGCACCAGCAAGGCCTTGGCCGCCTTCCGATACTGACGCGTCTCCACAGTATTGGCCGACCGAAGCTTTGTGATGAGAACCTGCAAGGAAAGCAGCCCCATGAAACCTCCCCAAAAAAATGTGGCTTCTCTGTGCCCAGGCTTACGCACCCACATGATGCGCAACAGGAAGGTGAGATTGATGATTAGCACCGCACACACAGGCCCCTGGTATATCCAATCCACATGGGTTTCCTGCATCCAGGGACAGTTGATGTCATACTGTGAAAAAGAGGCAAAGGTGAAACCAGAAAGGTGAGCTACTGCTGCTGGCTCGAGGAGTAGGTAATCCCAGAATAGACTCCGACTCTCACCTTTTCGGTGGTGCTGTAGGTGACCGTCAGACTCTTGGCCACCGCCCAGGTGACAATGAACACGGCAGGACCACCTGTCGACGCGGGACGTGGGAGAGACTTAATTGGAGACCACAGGAGGCCTTTTAGGCATTTGAACTTACCCCAGCCTATGGAGGCGTAGATGTTGAAGCGCAGGTTATCGCCCGAGAAGGTTTTCACCACCAGCATGTACAGGTACAGACCCTCAACCAGCATCCAAAAGAAGTTTGTCAGTGTGAAGAAGTGAAATAAGGTGATCAAGGCGATGCAACTGCCCAGGCCACTCCTGATGGATATCTGAAGAAAGGGATTTTAAAGGATTCAATTATTTAAAACTCGTTAAATGAATATCCCTTCAATATGCATTACAATCTTCGATATATTCCCTCTAAAGATCTATTAAATTCATATCTTGAACTTAATAATGAGCTGTGGCAGATGTTTCCTGCTTTGCTCTTCCGAAATCCTCTTTTTTCGCCAGGAATAATAATCCACTTTGCCATTTCAAATGGATTCAGTAACTCAAGAGTGATTTAATAAGACTGCAATTGCAATTATATCACAGTTACTCCCAACTCACCTGCACGGATAGCAAGAGTATCCAGAACAATGCCGACATGATGTATGTAAAGAACAAATTGGCGTGAATGGTGTTGCGCAGGCAACGCAGTTCCCTGTGGGTATAAAAATACGGGCGCGGGGCAAAAATAAATGCCAACAAATAGGAAGGTCAAGGGTTTAACTAGGACTCACTTGAAGTAGGCGAAGACAATCAGCGCCAGCGACAGCGAGACCAGGCTGATGGTGTATCCAATATAGTAGATGATGGTGGGCAGTTCCACGATGACCTCGAACTCCGGCACCGTTTCCGGGGCGGGCAGGTGGGCGCAGGCATCGTAGTTGGTGTACTTCTCCCACGTTCCATTGGAGTGACAGAACCTTGTGGCATTCTCTGATATGGGTGGATTTAACAAGAGCACATGGAAAATAAAACTAATAATTAATATCAAACATTAATATTAAGCAATAAAAACTTGACATTTAACAGCAAAATTTGGTTATTACAATATTCCGATTAGTTCTAGTAATTATTAAAACCATTCCGCGTTTATTTTTTAGATTTATACAAAACCTCTAGAAATCTTTGCTAATATATCCCCACAGTGTAGCAATATATAGTAGTAATAGGTCAAAGGCTATCTTTCTAAATAGTGGTTAGGTTAACTTCCACTCACTGCTGCTGTCATAGTGAATCCCCTGCAACTCGTCCATGCACTGGAGCACTGCCAGCGTTCCTCGGACCGTTCTTGGCCAACACAGAATGGAGTCGAACTGGGTGAGGCAGTGGTCACTGGCGTTGCCGTAGGTGGTGGCTTCAATGTGCTCCTGCACCAGACACTTTAGTTCAACGCTTTCTTCGATGCCTCCCAGGTTGTGGAGATCCAGGAGGGGATCGCTCCCGCTGGCATTCGCCGAATCGATGTGGTCGTGTTCACTCATCCTTGAACATCCTGCTTCCGAGTGTCTGTCACTGAAAAGATAGAGATAAAGGAGGAACCTTGAGTGGTAAATAAAAGGTTGTTGTAAACTATTTTTCATCTGCAAAGGATTCTTTTTTATATCCTTGTAGTGAAGTCAGAAGCTTGCTATGCAGTGAAGGAGGCATTTCCGACCCTATAAATCATATATAGTCTTGATCAGCGTCACGAGTCAAGCATATCTGGCATGGTAGCTGAATTTTACCCACTTTTTTCAAATTTAAAAACATTTTAAAAATTGTAACTTTTATTTTAATTTTGCACCTAATCAAAACTAGCAAAAAAAACTCTCCGAATTGAAATTAATTAACTTTTGGCATTAACCCTGTACAATATTTATGAATAAGTTCAAAGTATTTCCAAAAAGTATTTTATCTTAAAAAATTTAATTTTAATTTACTTATCTTAAAACTTCACGATTAAAAAGAAAATGTGAACTAAAATAGTGTCCCACCATGGTCAGTTTATTGCTAAATTGACAATATTTCCGTTTTGCCATCTTCGCTTTCCTTGACCGGGCTTTTTCAATCGCAAAGTTTGAATTCCCACAATTGTTAGGGGATTCCCCGGCGACCGGCAGGAGGAACCGAGGAAAAGGAATCAAGCCAGCGGGCAAAGTTCAATTGGTCTGCAACCCTTCAACCCGCTCCCTTTCACCGCAGCCTGTGGCTTGTGGCCTGTGTGTGTGTTAATTGCATTGGCCATGTTTCACCGACTCCGGGCCACGCCCACATCGTGGCTAGCTTAAAGACCATAAATTCAGCGTTGATGGGTGTGGGCTTCATTTCCATTGCCAGTTCTAGGAAAAAATCAGCACAGCAGGGCGGCTAGATAAATAAATAAATAAATGCACAGGCCCAGTGCCATAAAAATTCATTAGTTTTGCCATCAAAAGAGAACGCACGAAGCGTCAGCAGATCACAGGCATGTCCTGGTTTTTGGGGGCTGATAGGCTCCGCCATAAAAGTCGAGTCAAAGGGCCCAAGGAGTCCCAGGTCTGAGGGGTGATAGAAATTAGAAGCGCTAACTTCCTGTACTGGGCTTCCCTTTGGTTCGGTTCGGCCTCAAAGATGAAATCTCACATTTATGCTCTGATAATAAATGGCATAAATGATGCATCGTTACATTAATGCAGGACATAAAATAGGGCTGGCAAACCAACACATACATTCTCCTTAATAAGTATATTGTACATACAGAGAGCTGGGAAAGTAGCCACATAGCTAAACTCCCTACTTAGGCTTGGTTAATTTTAAATAAACAGGAAACCGCTTTGTTCCCACGGGAAAACGGAAGGGAAAACGAAAACCCACGTCAAAAGTAAAGAGCTAAATATTACTCCCTTTTATATTTTTTACAATTTCTCCGGGCAACGGGCAACGCAACTCGAACCAAGAGCATTAGTTTCTCTGGAATTTTCCGATTTACTTGGCCATGCTCCCCCGGGCGATTTTCTAATTTCCAGCCACAATCCATGAAATATTAAACCCGCAGGCAAATTGAAAATTCCGCCCGAAGCCACCTTGTGGCGCTCAGTGTTTCCTTCTTGGATGCCAGGTCCATTGTTGCTCCTTTCTGTGCCTTTCATTCCTTGTTTTTATGGCAACTGACTCGTAAATTAGCACAATGCATGTACATAAAACAAAAGGCAAGTTGATTATTACTGCACGGCGGCACATGGCTGCACGTCTTTGCCGGAGTTTTCCCCAAGCCCTGGGACCTGCCTTCCTCGGTTCATTAACTCGCAGCACACATACGCCCCGTTGCCCCGCTTCGACACCTCGCAAATGAGTTAAGAAACAGCCTCATTTGAGGTTGAAAATGTATGAAAATATATTTAAAAAAAAAGAGAGCAAACAAAAATGTGTGCGTGGGACCCATCCGACTCTAATTACCTCATAAATAATGTCGACCGAAATTAGCCAGCCTAAATTATGACCATCGCTGCTAATTGCATATTCGATTTCAATTAGGAGAGAAAGACAGTGGCAAGAACCCCCGAAGGACACTTGCCAGATGGGTGTGCAAATGCAAATTCATTCTGACAGCTCGCATGGACAAATCTCATTGCCGGGGCCAGGCGAGTTGACGAATGTGTCCTGGCCAGGCAAACACATTCGGGCTGAGACGAATCAGCGCTGGCATAAAAAGGGACATTACCGCAAATATCCGTTGGCCAGAGAAACGGGCCTAGCCGAAGACGGACAAATCGCACACACACAGGGCATGTCAGGTCCTTCTTCTGCTCCAGCTCCTGCTTTTCACATGCTATTACGAAAGATTGTATCTAATCTCGTGCGATTGCACACAATGGATTTGCCAAAGGCGACACAAATGTGCAAAAAAAAAATAACTAAGAGAATGGAGAGCGGGGAATTCTGGGGGATTGCTTGTGGGTTAGTTGGGTCCTTTCCCGGCCATGTGAGAGTTTCTGCAATTTCCGGCTGCCATAATGCTTATAAATGTTTGTTCGCAATTGCTGGGGATTTCTTTAGAGGATTGAAAACATAACGAACGAATAGTGGGTAGCCTTCGCACATTTAGCACTCATCCCTCGCAAGTCCTCGGAGCATGCAGAGCAAAATTAAATTCCACACTTTCCTTTTTTTTCGAGCCATTGAAGCTCGTTGCTTTTTTATGCGTGTACCTCGGCAAATGCTCCATCAACGCTGTGGAGGACATCAGGGAGAAAGTGCTATTTTCGGTTCTCATTAATGTAGCTCATTAAATTTTATATGCATAAGCAGTAGCATCAGCCAGAGCAGCAGAAAAAAAGCAGAGCATTTAAAATGTATAAACATGCCGCCGCACGGGACACCCAGCAGCATTACGTATACGTCGTGTAGCCTTGAGCGCATGTAGCGTATAGAAAGTTTCTAATTAAATTGCTCGTTTGAGCGTGGAAACAATGTATTGGATCGGGAATACAGCATGTAATTTGTTGGGGGAATTCGTATGCAGTAGGTCTTTCTCTCCGTTTGTGTTAATGCCTCCTCCTTGGACGCTTTACTTTTATTTCGAGGAATCTTCTCTGTCGCTGTCTCGTCTAGACACCGCCAACATCATAATTTGCAGGCACGCACTCCATTTCCATTTCCGTATCCGGCTGCCTTTGAGCCTTCTGATCTCCGAGCGATGGCCACTTTCAGTGCTTAAGTCAGCACATATCCTTTGGTGGACGAGGGAATGGACACGGTCACGGACACTCGAGCGATTGCCAACAAGTGTTGCGTTTTATTGTGTGGCCTTTAACGGCTTTCCCTTCCTTTCGTTTCGTTTCGTTTCCTTTTCAGCTCATTGTGTGCGGCACGTGCAAGATGGAGGAGCTGCAGCCGAAGGAGCTACGTGAGGGATCTCCCCCTAGCCAGATCGAGTCCGCGCCATAAGTCCATAAAAAGGAGGTGGCGCCGGTGCTCGAAATCTGTTATTTATTGGCTCAATAAAAATTTGGTTTAATGCATTACAAGTTGCTGAAATGCCAGCGAGATTTGCGAAAGATTTACTCGACCCGCAGCGGAAGTCCATAAAGCCCATAATAATGGAAGGGCAACAAGTCCGGATCAGGCAGATTCTTCCTGGTTAACGTATTGTTATTTGGTTTTATTTTGGAAATCTGGCCGGAATTTCTCCCTCCCCGCCCGCAATCGATAATGCAAACACACAAAAGCAATCGAGGGCAGCCCTCTAAAAACCCATCAGCCGCAGAATTTTCTCTATTGTAACCAAAAGTGCATTGTTTTCAGCAGGTGGATGTGAGTGGGAGTTTGTATACGGGTTTGTGTGCATTGCTATTTTAATTAACCACAATTTGTTATCCTTCCATTTCTGCTTACCCCTTTTCTCCCCTGAAAATGCCATACCTTGTGCCTTAACTAGGAGAAGTATCTGCTCCACTCCCTTTCTTATCCTTGAAATCCTTGGGATTCCTTGTGCTTAATACTGGCAGATTGCCTTCGCAAATGGAACTTCTCAGCTGACCAAAGTCCTTTGTCCCTTCGACCGAGCTTAGATGCGTTTAACGCCTTCTAAGCTGCGAAATGATTATGTGTAAGCTGTTTTTGCTAGTTGCCTTGGTTATTGACACACACACACACACCACGGCCATCATACACACTCTATTGTGTTCACATTTCATATTCGCATTTTAATGCAGGATTATTTGTTATGGCGACACTTGAACACAAAACACTGGGGGCTTTGGCCTTAGCAAAGTTTTCTTTATGAAATTAATGGCCGACTTATGAGCTGATTTATGTTTCCTTTATATTTTTTCTAATTAAAAAATCCGATTGGTCGAAACTTTTTGAATTGAATTTCCGAACTTTGATGGCCAAAACGAACCGCACTCGTTGACATCCCGCTGATAACTGACGGCAGGCCCGAAGGATGTGTCTTAACAAGGCTCCAGTTCTTACCAAAAGGCGCCAATTTTAGATTCCACACGGAAAAGCTCCGAAAGCTGCATTCCACAAGCTGCTGCTGTTGCCCGATAGCTTTCCGCGAGTCAACAGGTGGAATGTCCTGCGGGGAAAGGAAATGGGAGGAAGGAATTGGGTTTTCGCCCCATTCGATTGCAATTCTAATGCCCGAAAATCTGCCTATTTGATTTATGCAAATATTTGACAGGATGCCTCCTGTGTTTGCCCAGCATTTCGCTGGCTGTTTGCGAGCTGTTTGCTTAGGAAATGTGGAAAAGGGATACTCGGCGGGATATGGGATATACATACATACATACATACATATATGCGTAAGGCAAGGAGCGCCTTTGAAGTCGCTGGCTGATTTAATTGCAAGTATGCGAGAGACACTGCTGCGACTCCCACCTGGTCTGATCAAATTAAATTCAAGTGTCTCGGGCGCCCCGGGTGACAGTTATTGAAATATCAATATGCGGATGTTTCCCCACAATATTCCGGGAATTAAATTGTTGAGAAAACAAAAGGCAACATTTTTATTTAAGGCGCTTCTTTTTTTCATGTCTGCTAAATTTTATATTAGAATGATAAACATTTGCAGGGATTCTGGTGGGGCCGTGGAATGCGTGTGACACATGGGGGTTGAAGGCTGGTGCGAGGTTGGGTGTTAATGTGGGGTGCCCTGGGTGGCGACATCCTTATCCAAACTGTTTGATTTTCAAACAAATGCTAATGTCAACTGCCACTCAGAAGCATTTAAATTCCAATTTAAAAATGCTTTCTCTCCATGCCAAAAGCAAAGACATGTTCGGTGTCCTGCACGTATGTCCTTTTTCCCTCGCTCCTTCTGTGCTTTCACGATTCTCTGTGTAGCTCTTCTGCTCGGATTCTCCGATTTCCCTGTACACGCATTAAAGCGTTGTCCTGTCTCCTGCAAATTTAATGTCACACGCATTTCAATTTATATTTTTTATCCTTTTTTGTTTGTACTCACTCGCTTTACTGCCTGTCGCACTCGGCTACCAACCACAAAGTTTTTCAATTCGTTTTCAGGTGAATCCATTGAATGCATCTATTGTTTCGACGTCGTTCCGAAGCATACAAGTTTTCAATTAACCAGATTTGCATGGGGAAATGGAAAAACTAAAGTCAATCAGACTGCTTAACTTTGATAAGTCGATTTCAAGTCATTAAAGCTCCTAAGGAATTGCTTCATTTTCATTTAAATAATTTACTATCGCTGTGCTTAAGCTCCAGCAAAGTAAAAGCAGCTCCGGTGAAATCGCTTTATGCCCCAAAAGCCATCAGCTTAGTGGTTGAGAGCATAAGGAGCAAATCACTGAGCAGAAGACACAATAAGCAGACAAAGGAGGCAAAGGAGAAGCTCTGACAAACACATGAACACTGAGAAAAAGTATGAATATATTTGGTTTGCTTATTATTTAAGATTAACATAAACATTTCTTATCCCTTGCAAGGTAATTTAATTTCAGTCAGAAGCCTGTTACAAAGTGAAGGAGTCGTTTCCGACCCTATAAATCATATATATATTGTTGACCAGCATCAACAGTTGCGTCGATCTAGCTATGTCCTGGAGAAAAATAAATTTTTTAAATTTTTTTCAAAATTTGATATTTCTATAAGGGGTTACATCGTTAAAATTGTCAAAATTTGCCAAAATTAAAATTTTAAAAAATTTTAAAACGCAATATGTAGATTGGTTAACCCTGTAAAGACTAGCATAGAAAAGCTATCCGACTGAAATTTGAATCATTTTTGCCTTAGTCATGATATTTTATAAGGTTTAATTTACCCAAGCAACTAGCATATAAAAATATCGATTAAATATTCAAATATGCAAATATGTCTTGTAATATTCTACAAAAAGGAACCTCCTCATGGCTAAGTAAATTCAACCAACAAATAACCAGTTTTCTTACAGTGCAGCCACGCATTAAATGAGGAGTTGGGTGCCATGGCACTCAACAATTACTTAGATGGGCGTCTTGAACACCTCGGTGCCAAAGGGGGCTCGTCTTTCAGCATTCTCATTAATTACACGCCACACTAATTAGGCTGTAAGGGAATAGCAAAAGGATTAATCGCAGTAGTTGCACCTGCGTGTGAGTGTGTGAGTAAGTGCGTGAGTCACTTTGATTTTATCCCACTATATCCGTATTATTTTCGCCCAATTTGCGCCAGCTTCTGGTATTTCCCCATTTCTCGTCACGCACGAGCTGCTGCTGGTGCTGGCCAACGAATCATCGAATGGAATCGCGTCCAGTCATCAGTCAGTCAACCTCTGTGAGCCGCCGGCGATTGCTCCCCAGCCTTCGGTGGACGCATTGAACCAACAAAACAATGGCAAATGACCGTATTTCATTACAGAGCCATTAAAATGGGCCCGATTTTTGGCTATATAAAGCGAACGTCGGAGGGCTAGGAGAATTTTATTCTTTTTGCGGCACCACAGCGGAGATTAATCATTGCTTTTTTCGAAAACATGCGCAAGGCGATAATTAGTTTTTGTGTTGTGACTTTACTGCTGGAATGTACGCAGGCGGCCTTCAACTGTTCATCGCCGCCAAGCTTTAACAATTTTGTAGGTAAAAATTAATGTATATACGATAGAACTTCAGTAAGAATCCTTTTGCAGGACATCAACACCTGCTGTCGTACGCCAGAGCTGGACATGGGCGATGTGCCCCAGAAGTGCAACAAGTATGTGAGTGGCTTGAAGTCGGCCAATTCCAAGTATCCCAGCTATTCTCATCTGGTGAGTAGTCCTCTGTAACTTAAGGATAAACTTCTTAAAGTATAATCTATGTTATATATTTCAGTGCTATCCCGATTGCATCTATCGGGAAACAGGAGCTATGGTCAATGGCAAAATCAAAATGGACAGGGTCAAGCAGTACCTGGAGCAGCATGTCCACAGGCGGGATCAGGACATTGTGGCTCACATCGTGCACTCCTTTGAGGCCTGCCTGGGCAACAGTGCGTATGATTGATATTACTTAAACTCGCTGTAATAATTCCTCAATTTCAGTTAAGAGCCACATGAAGTCGTCGAACATTGAGTCCTACAAGGTCCTGCCTCACGGCTGTTCACCTTTTGCTGGCATTATCTACAGCTGTGTGAATGCCGAAACCTTCCTCAAGTGTCCCCCGAAAATGTGGAAGAACGAGCGTCCCTGCAATCTGGCCAAGGAATTCGCCGAGCAATGCAACCCCCTGCCCCATGTCCCATTGCCTAGCAGCTGATGCTCCAATTTGATAACATATTGTAGTGTAAACAAAGATTTAAAGTAAAAGTTTCAACCATTTAGTTTAATCTTTGGATCGCTGTTTCAAATCCATTAATACTCGACCTCGACTCGCTGACAATTAGCCAGCAAATTGACCATGACAAATGCGTATGCTCTTGTTCGTACTCGCATTGCGCTTTAGGATCAGTTAAAGTTCGATGTTGGATTGAACAACAGTTGCCAAATAACCAGTTATCATGAACCAGTTATCCTTTGTAGGCTGCCTCTTGCTCTGCTCTATGGTGGTTCAGGGAGCCTTCCAGGACTTTGTGATAGGACCTGAGGTAATTATGTACCGGAACCGGTTGAATCTATAAATCCCTTCTGGTAGTCCTATTTGGGGGATGTAGAGCCGCCCATTAATGAGGACCAGTTTTTGGACGACGACGCAGAGCAGGATGTTATGGTGTCATTCCAGGATGTACAGAGGAATGGAGTGGTGGACACCAGTCTGCTAATGAAGGCTCTTATGCAGCATGCCAATCGCTTGGGCATGAGTTTGGATGAGTTAGGTGAGCGGGAATCAAAGGAGATTGCCCATAGAAATCTAAATCTAAATCTCCTTAAAGCCGGCTTGAATATGGGAGGAGACGATGAGGCGTTTACTAACCAACTGGGCTGCTCGTCTGACGAAGATGAATTCAACTACCAGGACAGACCCACCTGGCGGGATGTGCTCTTCAACTAAGTCTTCAATAAATCCCATCACACAGAGTGATCAAAGCAGCTGGTCATATGTTATTTATTTTATTCGAAAACAAAACAAGAGCTAGCCGGTGAGCTGGTCCTCGCAGCGAATGCTGTACTCCCTGGACTCGTTGCAGCCCGGACTGTTGCTCCACACGCTATCCGGACAATAGCGATAGAAGTGCCGATGGGCGCACAGTCCGTACATCAGAGCCATGGCGGCACACTTTCCGGTAATGGGCATGCGGCGGCGCTTTAGGGCCTTTATCATGGCCTGCTCCTGACCGGAGCAGTTCCTGAAACCCTCCACATAGACCTGTACAAACTCATCGGTGGCCAGAATCTTGTTCATCATTTTCTCAATATTGGGCATCACCAGGCTGGTACCGTTTACGGCTTTTGCCGCCTGGAAAATGCACTCGAAGCTGCACTGTAGAAATGCGTTCTGGATAACTATAATCTTTAAGATCAAATTAAGTGACTTACGGGTGTAATGTGCGCCCCATTGACCAAATACTGACCGCACTGGGAATTGTAGCTCGAGAAGTCCATGTTAGGTAGTTTGCAGCAGTTTTTCAAAGTCTTTCAAGTGGGGTTAGTTTCTATATTTGTTTAATAATAATATTACTCACAGTTACTTCCGGCCTTTGGGAACAACTGTCATCCACAGCCGAAAGAGCTGGCGCAGCTATCAGGAGCCAAGTCAGCAAGTGAAGCATTGCGGGAACCTTCTGCTACCCGTACAGTCGCGCGCATTCCATATATATACACAGCTCCAGCCGGAAGCCCCAATGGCTTTGGGCTTGGCCCATTTACCCGCATTTCCCATTATGAAAATAAAATGATAATTTTAAGTTTTATTACTGGAAATCACAGGGTTTCGTAACGCAGCACCAGCGCCACGTGATGCCCGCGCACTCGGACAGTGCAGGTTCTCCAATCGCGCCATCTCACATGACTCTGTGCCTGACCAACTGGACGATGGACAGTTGTTGAAGACATACTTTTGGGAGCATATTCCATAGAAGAGAGCCACCGGGGAGCAGTAATCAGTTACCCCGATATGACGGGGCCTTCGATTCCTTATCATTTCCTGGACAGTATCCGTGCAGTTTATTACGCCATCAAGATATGCCTCCAGAAAGTCCAGGTTGTTGCCCAGCAGCTTTTCCAACATGGCACGCGTATTAATTGGATCCGGTATGGAGTTCACAAGGATTTTTGTCTCATTAAAGATGCATTCATATAGGCACTATAAACCGGAAAAGGGAGCAATTTAGCAAGTAATCCATTTATGGGATTATGTAGAATTTACCGGTGATACTTTGGGAGCTCCAGTGGGCATATATCTACCACAATTTTTTCTGAACTGCTCGAATCTTAAGGTGGGAAGGGAACAGCACCCTCTTACAGTCTGGTTAAATAAGACACTTGTAAAATTCAGCTAAATTCCGGGGTATTCTCTGATTAACTTACTTGAAAATCCTGTCGATGGGTGCAGTCCACATCCAGTGGATTAGTGGAAACTGTGGCCACCAAAGAGCAAATCAGCAGAGCTTTATTCCACGCCATTATTTCAGTCAGTCTGAGCTTGGCCTGGGCCTAACCGCTTAATTTATAACTCTCGATTAGAGGGGCGATCCACTAATTAATCGAGCAGATCGAATAGTTTAAGCGGCAGTCGCGTGACCCAAACTGAGCAGTCATCGTGATCGGCTGGTGGATTTTTGATTTCAGGGCAGGACAAAGTCCAGCGATTCGTTCTATTGGGGGCTCGTCCAAAGCCAGACATATGCAATTAAGCCGTCTGAATTGGATCAGCTTAAATGCAATCGTTCGAACGATAAGGATCTTGAAAGCCAGACACCCAAATGGATATAATGCCGAGCTGATGATGATGATGACATGACACCCACTTATTTGAAATCAATCAGACAAGTGGGATAATACCAAGAAAAATAAACTGGAAAGTAGGAAGAAATATCTCCCTAGAGACATGTAATTACTTGTTCCCGCAGTCGTGACTTCCATCTCGCGAAATTCGTCAGCTTCATTTTGTGGAGCCAGGAGCAAATGTGATGGTATCCAATCGGGTATACAATTCGGTATTAGAGTCCTGATAAGATCGCACTCTTCCACACTCCTCCAGAATTCCTTGGGACAGTGGTGGGTCACATGCGTCATGATGCACTGCGTGTGGAGCATGGCCTCGGGCCGGCACTTGGTGTCCAATCCCAACTCAGTCTTCATCTCGTTGGCATGAAGCATCACGAAATCGGTGTAATTTTTGCCCAAGTCCTCGCAATCTTCATTGGCTTCCTTGAAGGCTTTTCCATACGTGTGGTAACCGTTCAATGGATTGTACAGATTGGTGATCATGGTGTAGAGCTCCGGCTTCTTGATCGTGTTATTCTCGTCGAGGAGTTTCCAGTGGTTGTACAGGCACTCGTAGCGACACTGAGGAAAAGCCTTCGGCTCAGTACTTTACATTCCCCTAGTAGAAATTACTTACAGCCCCGTAGTTATTCCAATAATCCTGACAATTGGATCCGACGAACAGAAACTTATCCACCAAGGACACTCCACAGCAGTAGGCAAGCCTCTCTAGGTTTAACAACTTTCGGCATTCCTTATGAGCCATCGTGGCAGGGTTAAAACAAATCGTCGAACGCATCCATAGAAGAGCCACCAACAGTAGTCCAATCAAATGCATGGCGAGCCAAACTTTTAAAGAAAAATATCTGAAAAATATCTCGAATTTTGCAGAATTTTGTATTTCTGTTAACCAAATGAAGTAAATTACTAAGCATGTTTCCAGTGGCTTCAGTGGGTTAAGGTGTAGAGTATCGGGTATCTTTCATGTAATCTCTCTGCTGGCCACATGCAAGCATACGAGTTCAAGTTGATTCATTCGGCTTTGGAAGCTTCAGCCATGCGGACAGGGCGAATACTTGTTATGCTCATTTCTCTGGGCCTTTTTGTTCCCTTTGAGGCAGCCAAGTGCAAGGCAGCTCCCAAATCTGTGCAGGTAATCCTGTAGTTATATTAATCGAGGAATTTATTCAAAATATACCCTAACATCCTTCCTAGAATGTACACATTTGCTGTTCAGCGCCCATGCCCAATTGGGGAGTCTACAATCGTGACTGTAATAATGCTGGCAGCCAAGCGAGCGTAGGTATTTATGGTTATTTAACTCTAGGCCAATTAAACCCCTTTCCACATCTCTCATATTTAGTGCCGCCTGGCCTGCATCTTTAATGCCAGCTTAGCCATGCAGGGAACTCGGCTTGTCCAGAGTCGGATTCGACCCATGCTGGAGCGTGCATTTGCCAGCGAAGCCACCATTGATGTCTATGAGTCCAACTTTGCCCGGTGCTCTTCGTTGGTCAAGAGCAAATACCAAGAATTGGCCCCACTGAGTCGTCAGAGTGACGCCTGCGACAGACACGCCCTCTTTTACAGCCTCTGCGCCTACGCCCGGCTGATATTTACCTGTCCGGAGAAGATGTGGCAGCGGAACAACAAGATGTGCCAGGAGGCCAAGACTTATGCAAGATCCTGCTCCTGGCCAGCACTAAAAATGTTTATGCAAAACACTTAACAAATTCGTTTCATGTAATAAGTGAGAAATGAAGTGATATAAAAAACCTACTAAACTTTAAATGTAAAGTTTAATACAAATATATAAATCTAGAATGTACGTTTTCCTTTATTTATCGGTTTTCGAGTTATTAAATCAAGAATGCTGTACTGGCATTTTTGATGGTAAGTTCCACAGTTGGCCTTACTACCATCTAATTCAGCAATATAGTAATGCTTGGGTAGAGCCTCATATCGGGAGCTACTGGGACTGAACATCACATGAACCAGGCTACCCAAAACTCCATTGAGATCCGCCAGCTGATAGCTGTTCGCCTCGCAAATCAATCTTAACAAGCAACTACCGCTAGATCCCAATCCGTGTCTGTTTAAAGAGTATGTTCACTAATTAAAATATTCACTAAAATTTAAAAGTCTTCACTCACAGTTCGAAGCGATCACTAAGTATGTCGTAGAACCTGGAACGCGAAAGTAAAGATCTCCTTTCACGATCTCTGCCCACGGGTTCGCCCATGCCATCTAAGGGAAATCCCTGAAAGAAATCCTTGTAGTCTGAATCATCTTCCTCATCTTGTGGCGGTGGCTTTGGTTTTGGTTTGTGTTTATGTTTATGCTTCCGTTTGGGCTTATTTTTCTGTGGCTTCGCAGCAGCTCCTGGCTTGAGTTTGGTCTTCTTCCTTTTCTTGTTATGGTGGGGCCTGTATATGTGGCCAAAATGGTGGCCATCATGTTCATCATAGAAGTCATCGTAAACGAAATCATCAAACTGTTGATGGTCTTGACTGCTCATTTCATCATCAGTGCCATTGCCATTTCTCTGGAGGAAAATGATTGATCAAGGAAACTAACTTCATATTGTAAAGAAAACTCTTACTAAAAATGGTGGCTTCTTCCTCCAAGTCTTGGGCAATTGGTAGGATACTTCAAAGTTGTAGGACAGAAAGCACTTTTCTTTAGCTAAGTCTAAGGGCAAGGCAAGGGCCACAAAGAGCTAAAAAGTAGTTAATAAGTTGAAATTTAAATTACGTAAATTTTTATTAAATGCTCACCGAAGATGCTCCGCCGGTGTTCCAAACAAACTTTGCCTGGAGATTCTGAAACAAAGCGAATCCCAAAAGGATTTGGATGTTTATAGAACCGTCCATTGCATCCAACTGCCGTCATTCAACTGAGCAGTCAGCTTATAGAGACCCAAAGTAAAAACCATTTCTCTGCCAACCTGGGGAGTGATGATCCACTTAAGAATCTCTAGTTTCTAGTAGCGAAAGTTGCTAATTGATGAGCCAGTAAGACAAATAAGGCCAAACTGTGGGTTCTTCTGTAGCAAACGTTTTATATATTTTCGATCTATATTTTATTGCGTTCTATGTGCTTGAAGATCTCTGAAAATGGCTCCGATATCAGCTCCAGAAGACTCTCACCACAACCTGGCTCGTAGTAGTGACAGTGATCGTTGTAGCCATCATGTTCCGCTTGATAATAGCGCAAGGGGAGATCCTCTGACTCAGACGTGCTGGGACTGTAATGGAGATTTAAAGATTACAAAGCAGCTATATTTTTAAGAGCTATCTCAGTTCTACCTGAATAGAACATGCATCAGGCTGCCCAAAACGCCATTGAACTCATCTAATTGGGCCGCATTGGACTCACAGATTAAGCGCAGTAAACAAGACTCCCCTTGGAAACCACTCCTACAAGTTAGGTTTAGCTTAATATTTTGAAAGTGTATGTACCAAATCGAAACCCACCTCCTTAGCTTATCGATAAATATGCGGTAGATATTTGTGCGGGTTAGTAGGGACCTAACTTTACGTTCTTTAGGGGGTAGCTCTGTGGCTTCCACTTCCTCTTGACTCTCTTCCCCAGCCTCGTTCTCCTCTGAAGTGCAATTCAGTCGGCAGTCGGCGGATAACTTGCGAGATGACTCTGCCTCCGCATCCGTCTCTGTGTCATCCACTACCACTTCCTCCGACTCAATGGGTCCATTTTGCTACAAAAAGAACCATGAGTAAATAACCGAATAATACTCGCATTCTGACTGTATCTATTTGCTGTTCGGCCGGCCTGTTAATTGTGCCATAAAAAGCGTGTTAATTGTCAACAAAATGCGGCGTTTTATAGCCGAAAATGAAACTTACAAATATTGTCCATTTCTCCCAGTTTGTGGGCAAGTTGTAGTTGGCCTCAAAATTGTAGGAAACAAACACATTTCGGTGGGGCAACTCGAGGGGAACGGCAATGGCGGCAAAGATCTTAAATTCAGATGTTCCAGGAATGTTTTAGGGTACAAATAATATATATCAAGAACTCACACCATGGGTACTGGAGGCTGTATAAGCGACAAAGGGGTTTGCAGAATCAAGAAAAAGAGTTAAGAAGGAAAGCAGGCAAAGTAAGAAACCAGGCGAATTCATTTTCTTTCAACTAATAAGCACGATATATCTCTACGATGTTCAGCCGGCAACTGACTTGCATTTGAAGCTGAGTACTCGCAGTAAGTGCGTGGCCCCTGAGAAGTGAGCGATTGCTAATTGAATAAGTAAAGCCCCCAGAAAGATGCGGTTTCTTTGGTACTCCAGTTTATTTTCTTCTTCGGCGACTTGCTATATCATTAAGCGCCTGTTCCAGTGGCACAGAAATCAGGTCCAAGACGTTTTCTTCACAGTCTTTGGTATAGGCCGCGCAGTCTCTGTGCTCTCTTCCCTCAAATTCAGCCTGGTAATACTCATGCGGCAGATGTTCATCTTTGGAGCTGCTGGGGCTTTATGGATATAATAATTTAAAAACATTTAATGGCTTAAACTGTCTAGAAACTTACCTGAATATAACGTGAACTAGGCTGCCCAAGAAGCCATTAATATCGCCCAGCTGGGAGGCATTTGTATCACATATCAAACGCAGCAAACAGGCTTCGGGAGGAAAACCAGATCTATTGGGGGATACATTGCTCTTTAGGCATAAATGTAATATAGTAGTGATTGACCAACCCACCTCCTTAGCTTATCCCGCAGCATGGCATAAAAAACTGAACGACTCATTAGGGTCAAGCCCCGCTTTTCCCGCGATGCTGCCACTTCAGAGGCATTCGCAGAGGAAGTGATATTCCCCTCCAGTTTCCAATCTGTGCAATTTTGGCATTGCCTGCCCTTGGAATCGCGACCCGTGGTGGGATACGTCAGGTAGCCATCCTGAAAGTCCTGGCCCATCTGATAAGTAGAAGGAAAAATCAATCTCTCCTACAAACAAAAGACTCAAGACACGAACCCCGTGCCGCGAGACTCACCAAAATCGGCGGATATTTGTACACGTGCTCCGGTTGATAGTAATTGAACTCGTAATTGTACGAAAGGAACACATTCCGATGTGGCAATCCGATGGGCACCGATATAGCCATGAAGATCTAGAAAACCGAAACCATTTTAGAGATCACAGCACTCAATCGCTTGAACTTATAGTACCCCGTACTCGGAGTTGGTGGTGAAAAGCAGTGCAGAGTTCCCTAACTTCCAGTTCATTATTATGGCACAAAGACAAAGCCAGGGGCTTAAATTCAATACTCTGTACATGGTGTTCAGTAAGCGCTAGGTATCCAATAGTAACAAATTTTTGATGTTCGATGAACAGCGTATCAAAACCAACTGGCGGAGCTCGCCGGACAAAGGCCGGCAAGAAAGGTGCGTGTCCACGAAGCTGTTAATTAAAACCAAGAATTCAAATCTGGGTCGTCCCCGAATTGGTTTAATGCAGTTCAAACTGTAAGCGCCTGATCGATTGTCTAGTTTATTATTTTCTACTATTTCGTTTGATCATAACATCCAGCAGGAGATCATAGAACGGCCTTGAAATCAGGTCCAAAACATTCTCCCCACACAGGCTGACGTACGAAGAGCAGTCTCCATGCCAAAACCCATCCCACTCGGCCTGGTAATAATCGCTGACCAGGTTTTCGTCACTCGAGCTACTGGGCCTGCAAGGGGAAACCCCTGTTAAGATGCTAAAAATATCTTTCGCTTTTATTAGTTAGCGCCTCTTAGGCGTCTAAGCTTTCTTGCTATCATTAGCAGCCTGCGAAAAAAGCTCTTGCCACTTACGTGAATATGATATGCACTATGCTGCCCAAGAGTCCATTGACTTGTCCCAAAGTCGAGGCATTTGTTTCACAAATCAAGCGAAGCAAACAGGGCTCACCAGGATAGCCGGATCTGGGAATAAGGGATACATTTTGAAATCTAATAAAATTAGAAATATAAATCCTTACCTCTCCAATTTATCTGTTAGCATTATATAGAAATTGGTACGACTCATGGCAGGTAAAGAGCGACAAGGACGCAACTTCCTTGAGCTAGAACCCCCTAAGAAATCGACACCTCCAGTCGTGTTATAGGTCAAGTAACTATCCTCCCAGTTGTCACCCATCTTAACCAATGCGGATTTTAAATTTAAATAATATTTAATTTTAATTAAATTCCTTATTAACTTACCAAAATCGGAGGGTACTTGTAAATGTGCTCCGGTTGATAGTAATTAAATTCGTAATTGTACGAAAGAAATACATTGCGATTCTGCAAACCGAGAGGCACGGATATGGCCATGAATATCTGCATTGAAGGATCTTAGTTAATTTTTATAGAAGTTAAAACAATTCACATATTTACACCAAATTCAGAGTTAGTGTTGTATATCAAGGTGGAGCCCACAAAGGACCACTTAAGCAAAGACAGAAGAAATACTATTCGAATGTCCATAGTTTAGAAGAAGTTTCAACCAACTGAAGCGCAATGCGCCCAAGATTACATATTTTATAGAATTTCCGCAGTGTTAATTTGAAGACACGAGCTAGCAGCAAAACTAACCGCAATTGGTGAAATGCTTCCTAAATAACCACAGTCACGGCACTGACCAGAAATAGACATGGAAACAGAGAGCCAGAATTTACGAATTTGCAAATTATGTTTTATTCCAATGCGTTCCGCATACGCTTAGAAGTTAACCCTAGTCTATAATAATGGTTCTTGAGGTGTGTGGCAGACGCTCGAGGTCGCCTCCGTTTGGCGTTTGCTACCTGGCCTTGCGCAGCTTTCGCTCTTTCCAAGTGACAAACTTGGCGTTGGCGGTGCGGAGCAGCTGGTTCATGTGCTGGGTCAGCGAGGAGCGCAGTGGCGAGAGCTCGTGCATGGCGCGATTCTGAAAGGGCAGGCGAATTATTAATGAATTCAATTGATTCCTTGTTGTTAAACCTACTTCAAAGGGCACCAGTTTGGCCATTTTAAAGCGCTGCAGGGTCTCGTGCATCCGCTGCAACTTCGCCTCCAGTTCATCGGTAGTAGGTGGAAAGCAGCTCCAGAAATGCTTCAGTAGCTCCGACAGCGACAGATACAGGTGGCGCAGCTCGCGCTGAAAGTCACGCGGCACCAGCTCTGGATAATATAATGGTGTTATCAGAGTGAATCATTAAATGTAAAATGTATAGCAACTTACGTCCTGCAGACTGCTCCTGGAAGCCACGCATCAACGAACCGCCAGGACTCAGCTCGCCCAGGGCATTCACAGCCGCTTTGGAACAGATAAACGTACGCTGCACGTTGCGATTCAGCCAGTTCTCCGAGTTGCGCACCAGCTTGTACTGCACTTCCTCTAGACTCTGTGAGTCGTGGTGGTTATCGTATATACTGTTCTGGGTGGGCCCATTAAGATAGCGCTCCACCCTAGACAGCTCGAATTGTTTGGAACTGTTGCCCTTGTCTCCGTCGGCACCCTCGCCATCCATCTCCATGACGGGATCACCGAGATCTTCGTAGTGGATCTTGTCGATAAGTCGTTGCTTTTTGATCTGCGGCTCGTCATTGTCTGGAACGCTTGTGGAACGCTTGGATACGGCAGCCGCTTCCATCGCCGTGGCCTTTCCATTAAGGCCGTTTGTGTAGGCAGAATGGGAAACCGGGCCGTTGGCACTGTTAGTGCCATTGGTTGTAACTGGCGGTGCATTCACGTTGGCACAGGTCTTGAGCACCATGATGGAATGCTGGTTGAACCGCTTGATCATGTTCTGGTGCACAATGTTGCCACTGTTCACGACGTTGCGGTCCCCGGCAACACTGCCGAAGCCCTCCTCCAAAGGAACATCCTCGAACTTTTTGAGGTCCAGCAGGGGATCACCGGCTCCCTGCTGCACAGCCGCCTTCAAGGCCTGATCATCGATCTTGCCGCACTCCGTGAATATATCCTTGGTGCCAGCGGTAAGTCGATCGCGGTGGAAGTAATGCGACTGGAAAAACTTGGTCCAAAACTCTGACTCGGGCATCTTCGCAGGCACATTCTCCATGTGCTTGCGCTTGACGGCGGGATAGGTCTTGAAAATGCAGTGAATCACGTCGGCGGTAAGGTTGTACTTGAGGCCGTTGCAGCCGTCCGTTTGCGGTTTGATGTCGGCCAGGAAGGCGCCAGAAACACCTGTAATCGGTCGATTTATGAGTAAAAAATTAATGCAGTATAGGAGCTTTTGTACAGACCGATCTCCTGGGTCTTGCCCATCTTTTTGAGGGCATGCTCCTTGGCGTGTGTGGCCCAGAACTCGTCGCTGGTCAGCACTTTGGTGATCACGAGGTCCTTGTACATCTGCAACAGGTTGGGGTTCTCAACGAGTATTCGGTTCTTGTCCTCCAGGTCCTTGTCCACCTTACGCTTGAAGTTGGGCAGCAGCTGCTGCAGCAGCTCTTTGACCTTGTCGCGATCGGCAAGCATAGCGGGCTGGCCCTGGCGGTTTACAAAATGGAAGGTTGAGGTGTTGCCGTCGTGCAGCACCACTTGCAGCTGCACCTTCGGCTTGCCCTCTGGCGAGATCTTTTGGGCTGTGCAAAAAAAAGGAGATGTTACTTTAGAATGTTCGGTACATCGATAGAGCAACACCCACTCTTGATGTCTGCATAGCGGTGGGAGACCGTCACCGTGTCCCGATGTTCGGCCATCCAGGCCAGCCGCTCATTCATCACGTAGAGGGTGCCATCGCCCTTCTTGTACCGCACCTCGCCCATCTGAAGCAACACATCCTCGCTGCTGGTGGTCATCGTGTCCTCCTCAGCTCAGCGGCGCTCAGCAGTCCCCGTTTCAGTAGCAGTTCCACGGTTGCCGTCAGATCGCATTAGAGCCCCGCAAGAGCCAGAACCAGAGACGCCAGCAGGGCCTGACACCTGAAAGAACGGAACAGGCCGGCGTTGTAGCATCTTCGGTGGAGAAAAGTGTACTCTATGCGGCGAAACGGACCAGCCGGCGGAATTTCCCTGTCCAGCGGGCGCAAAAACGCACAATTTCACGAAATGTTGAAAAATCACACCTCACGCTTGGTTTCTCTGAAAATATCGGCAGTTAACAACAGCTGTTCTCAGACAAACTGCTTTTACGATATTTTCAATCATCGTACAGAGACGCCAATTCAATATACTAGAAAGTTGCATGGCGTTAGGGGATTTCTGACAGCACAATTTTAGTATATTCAGAGTGTGGTGTGAAAAAAATTTGAGTTTGTCGTAAGTACCGAAAGATGGCGCCACCGAAAGAAATTCAAATGCAATGATTTTAAATTTCTATAAAATTTTAACGATGTTACTAACCCCTTATTAAATGTTGAAAAATATAGTAAACAATTTTTTCTAGCTGGCATTGCAGAAAGACTCGGTTGTTAATGCTGTTCAAGAATACACATATATGATTTATGGGCCCGGAAATGATCTTTGAAAAAATTACAATACCAAATATGGGCGTAAAGCAATTAATTATTATTTATTAATACTAATTTATTTAATTCTAAGTTCAGTGCTTGGTTCGCTCCATTGCCCGTCCGCGATCGAGCAGCTCCCGGAAAGTCTTGACTTCGTGCCGCGGTATACTCTCGCGGTATTTGGGCTGCATCAGGCCGTAAATGAAGTCCAGCTCCGTCTCCTCATCATGCCTTCCCTCCGGCAGCTTGGCCAGCAGGGCTCGCTGCTTGCAGATAAAGGTGTCTATCGCTTCGCCATGCTCCTGCTTCGTCTCAAAGATCTCCATGTAGAGCTGGTAGGAGGGCTTGGTGGGAGAAAAGTGATCGCGGAGCAGCTGAAGAGCATCCGGCCAGGTCTTGGCATCTCGCCTCACGCCCTTCCACCAGATCACGGCGATGTTATTAAACAGCAAAGGGAGGCCTTTCAGGGCATCCCTGTCGCTGATACCCTCCACCTCCTTGTAAGTCTCCACCGCGTTGATGAACTCATCGACGGCGTCGTGATCCCGCTGGCCACTGAACCGCACCGGACAATTGCTGAAGCTCCCCTTGGAGAGCGGCTCCTCGTCTTTGGTCGGGGCCAGCGCTTTGATGGTTTCGATGAGAATGCGAAATTGGTCGTCGGACATCATTTTGTTTGGGTTTCTTCTTGCGCCCTGGTTCCCCGAAATGTAAACAAATGCCGGAAGTGGAACCACAACAAATCGAAACCAAATCAGCCGAAGGAAGCGGAGCAACTGCGAAAAAAATTTGCTCGTTCAGCTTTTTCGTTGCTTTGTGAAATTGAACACAAAAACAGTTCTCTCTTTGCCTGAAAGCTTTTTCGAAATTCGAAAAATAGGCCTCGCTCTCTGAGTTTTGTATTATTTGGGTGAGCGTGTTCCGCCTCGCCTCTCTTGGGGGTTCACCCTACTATCTTTATTTGGAATTTAAACGAATTGTACCGGCAGATAGAGTGCACCGATAACAGGTGCCATTCAAAATAAATATATAATTATAAGTGATTTGAAAATGTCATTAATGAAATTGGTTGAATTAAAAGATATAATTTCTTTTAATTTGAAACAAAAGTTTACGAATAGTTTGCTTGTTTTCTCTGAAAACTTGTTCTATTAGGTCATCATTTCATGACGTCAGATTGCGTGGAACAAATACTGTTTTACTATGAATAAGAAATTTACTATATCTGAAAACATGAACTAAATTCTTGAAATTTCTTGGAATCAGCTAGCTAAAGTCGATAGGCTTCCATAGAAATAAAATTCCTTATATTAAGAAAATGAATACTAAAAACATATAAACATATAAGAAATAATTTAATCGCATGTTGAAATAAGCAATTACTCAGCCATTGCCAATGGAATTTCACATTGCGTTGTAAATGTTCTAAAAATCTAAAAAAAAAAAAAAAAAAACCGAAACTGCAGCTGCATACCAAACAAACCTAAGAATTAATTTCTTCCATAAAATTTGTACAAGAAATCGATAGAAACACCTTCATTATCAGTATTTGTTTATCAGTTTTTTGGGCTAGTTACCGGCTTTCATAGAATTATTATTATATTGCCAGCGATGATTCATTGCCGGGAAAACAACAACAAATATATGGAACGTACTCTCTTTGGCTGTGCCTCCCCGATTCGGCGCTCCCCGCTTGGCATTAGCTTTTTCGAACTTCGATTTCACAACGACCGGGTATAAAAGGCCCCACATTGCGGAGAGGCTCCTCAGTTCAACACAACCGGCCGCATTCGCTTCACAGGCTTTGCCCGCCGAAGACTGCAACTCAGAAAACTTAAAACAAAAACGTGTTACCCGCCCACTAAATCCACTCCAACCTCAAACACACTTACACACAGCCATGGCCCAGAGTATTAACCTGACCAACGAGCAGCTCCACGAGCTGATCCAGGCTGTGCGGGCATCTGCCGTGAGCGCTGCCGAATCCGCCGCTGGAGGAGCCGATGGGACCAAATCGAAGGCCAAGGGCAGCTTCTCGGCGTGCACACACCGCTTCGGAGGCACCCGCAGCTACGACGAGGTGGAGGAGTTCATCACCAACATTGTGACCTATAAAGAGCTGGAGGACATCAGCGACGAGAACGCGCTCAAGGGGCTCTCACTGCTCTTCTACGGCCTGGCCTCCACCTGGTGGCAGGGCGTCCGCAAAGAGGCCACCACCTGGAACGATGCCATCGCCCTCATCAGGGAGCATTTCTCGCCCACCAAGCCCGCCTACCAGGTCTACATGGAGTTCTTCGAGAAGAAGCAGGAGGACTCTGACCCCATTGACACATTTGTGGTCCACAAGCGCGCCCTACTGGCCCAGCTGCCCAACGGTCGTCACGACGAGGAAACGGAGCTGGACCTGACCTACGGCCTGCTGAACATCAAGTACCGCAAGCACATCTCCCGCCAGAGCGTCACCACCTTCAAGAATCTGCTCGAACAGGGCAGAATCATTGAACACAACAACCAGGAGGACGCGGATCTGGCGGCCAACTCTAAGAACGCCCGCGGCGCCCGCCGCACCATCCGATGCACCTACTGCAACTTCCGGGGTCACACTCTCGAGGACTGCCGCAAGAGGACTCGAGACCGCGAGGTGAACAACGACGATTAAGTGGCCAACGCACTTCACAAAAGCGAGGGGGAGAGTAGTGGCCTTCTCCTCGTCATCATCATAGAACTTTTCGTAGCCACACTGGCCGATCAACGTCAGCGAGAGCCCAACATCCAGAGGGAGCGGCAACATGTACGACGGCAACATCAGCAGCAGCAACATCAGCAGCAACATGTTCGACAGCGACATCCGCAGCTGGGACATACCGCCCGCAACCGAACCTTCTTCATACTCACTGGCAAATGGCGTGCCGGTAAGCCTCGACTAGCTTCTGCCATCCACTTATCCACGCAGCTTCCACTGCGCAATCTACTGTGGAAGCGGCTCCATCATCACACATCGCAACGCCGCCCTGCGGCTGACTTGGCAAAGAACGCCAACTTCCCGCCAGCAATTATTTCAATTGCACCATTGAATTTGAACTATTTGAACTCAAAGAAGCAACGCAACCGAGAATGTCAGGCGGGGGGCGGCTGAGGATCAGGCATTTCGTCCAGAAGTTTGGGGTGTCTCAATCTTAGACATCGGAATTAGTGGGCCCAAGGGTGAGGTTTGTTGCTCGAGGCGAAAGCTTCGGGTGATTAAATCGCACTCCGCCTGCGGATTCCGTGATCTTTGATTGAGTCCCCAAATGGATGTTGCCTAATCTTCAGCCGCCCCCCTTCCCTTGGTCATTCTCACAACCGCCGCCTCCACCTTGTGCCGTTCAGCGGAAGATCAGCGATTGGATGCCAGAATATGTGATCACTATATAAACAACAGTGTAGTGATTGCTGCTTCGGTAACCGTTTTTGTTGCATTTTTCGCCTGATTCTGGTCCTTTGTGAAGGTGGCAAAAAACCCCCCGCCCGGCGATCGCCTGCTTAGATCCTTTTGTACGTGACACTGACAGCCTCGCGTAGTTGTGGCCCCCGTTTCCGGTTGGAGCGTCGGCGCCTTCCGGTTCCGGGAGTCACTGCCTCGCGCAGTGTCTCTGGTGCGAGTGGAACTACAGCGGGCGTGACCCGGGCAAAACCCTAAATTTCTTCGGAAATTTAAAAACCAAACAATCCAATTTTGACCTTTGTCAAAATATTTTCGAAGTACATCGCACAACGATGGCTCTTGATTCGCCATTCGTGCGGTTGGCACGCCAAAATTGTCGCCCAATGGATTACGGGTGTAGGGCTGTTTATCATTTCACCCCTGCGATCCTGTGACAATCATGAGGCACGCCAGAACCCTCCTTGTCGCGCCCCCGGCGTGACCACCCGGGGTTGAGATTCGTCACCGCCGCGCCCCTCCAGCCGTCACCGACTTTCTCCGCCCCCACATGCAATCCGGCCTTCTTGCGCAGATGACATAGGCGCGTTAACCCATCCGACCCGGGAACTCTACTTCCGGAGCATGGTGACCAGGCTCGTGAAGTGCGCCTTCAACTGGAGATTCGGCGACTGCACAGCATGAGCTTTGCCCGCATTCCCCACAACCCGAAACCAACTGTGGGGGCCTATCAATGACCGCAAGAGGCTGCGGAGAAGCATAATCCAACATGAAAGACTGAACTCAGAAACAATAAACCACAAGCTCACAACCACAAAAACTTTGAAAATGTTTTGGGTAGGAAATGGGAGACATTCTTTTTCAGCTTTTTTCATTTCAGATTTTCTAAGCTGCAAGGCAGAAAAATTGTTCAACATTCCATTGAAGTTTTGATTTTTGAATAAAGTACTTAAACTAGGAAAACAATAAAAATAAAATAAGTTATTTTAGAAAACTTAACAATGTATAACTCTACAACTCGCATTTAGATCAGGGAATCGAATTTAAAATCGTTTGAAGGAACTTTAGGTAAAATTTTGTACACAATACTTTCTTGTGAGAAAATCTTAATTTTCCAAAAATTATAACAAGGCCAAATATGCATTAAATTCAAATCGGAGGTTTGAGGTTTTTTTCAATTTTTGACAATTTTAATGAAGTAACCCCTTATTTTTAAAAATTGGGTAAAATTTTGTTTTTTTCATGGCATTTGAGAATGACTGCTGCTGATAATGATCAAGAATATATATGATTTATGGGGTCGGAAATGGCTTCTTCCCCAATTATCATAAGTAATACCTAAAGCAAGTCCTGTGTAGGAACCAGAGATAACAGTTTTATACGAGGCTTTTTTGTGTAAATCGTAATTTTCCAACTATCATAACAAGGCCAAAAATGCAATAAATTAAAATCGGAACCAGGCAGAACGATCTGGCTATTGATGGTGTTCAAGAATATATATGATTTCGGAAATAAAAAAATCAATTCATCTGAATATGTTGCACAATATACCCAGAGAATTTTTAATGGGGGGCGGAAAATAACACCACAATAACAAAACATAAATAAACACGGAGCCTAAATACGGCGGAAGTGAAAGTGTGGCCAGACTTTGGGTTCCCTTTTGCATATAGTATTTTTTTGAGTTAATGGTTTTTTACATGTTGTAATTTGTTCGGACCAAGATAACTATACACGAAATTGACAATCTACACTATCTAAAGTACATTAAGGAAACATTTTAAGACATATCTCTTAATAAAATATACCTTTAATTATTTATTTTGTCCATTTTTTGTGATTTGGCGATATTCCTATGTTGACTTGTTTTATGTTCGGACCATCTGGTCACATTTGCGCAAAATAATAATATTTCCTAATCAATATACCTGATATCAACAACTGATGCACAAAACACACCGTCTCACCGACAGCCAGTATATGGAGGTCGAGGGCCTACTGCAGGTGAGTGGAAAACTACATTTGCAGCTCTTTTCGCATTGTCTGATGGCCGCTTACACGCCCTTTCTTTTCGCCCCGCCGCCCCGTCGCCACCACTCCACCCACTCGACTTGAAAAACCTGGTCAAAACACGCACACAACCGCACTTGCATTCGTACTCGAATTCCCACAGGCCATGGACATGCCCACCAGCCACGATCCGGAGGCGGACCTCGAGCCGGAGTCGACGTCGCTGTGCCGATTGAGCCGCTACAACGTGACCAACCTGTACGAGGGGCCAGCGGGCGGAGGGGCCAATGGGGCTCCGGCGGGCCGCCAGCGCTGCTTTACAATGCCCCATGTGCCACCGCCAGCGCCTCCCTCCACGCCCACGCTACTGACGAGTGGCAGCAATAGCAACAGCAATAGCAACGGGAACTGCAGCTCCACCGTGTCCGTCTCAATCTCGCCCACCTGCTCCGCCAGCAGCCATCCCCTTGAGAGCCCACTAAATCATTTCATCTACGTGAAAAATGGCAAGAACCTGCGTCGCGAATCGCGCTGCGTCGACTCTGAGCTGTCCAAGCTCTTCAACGTGGTGTCGATCACAAACCGGCTGACGGCAATCAAGAACCGCAGCAATTCCATTTCCGGCACCGGTACCGGCACCCAGCTAGCGGAGCGTGGAATCCTTAATGCGTCGCGCACAATATCGAAGTTAAATGGGGCGACGGCCACTAAGATCTTCAAGATCCACCGAGACCCGAAGGAGTTTTTGCGCGAAACGGACGAGGATTCGGTGTCGGCGCCGGAGTACGATGAGGAGGAGGAGGACACGCGATTCCGCTTCTTCCGGCGGGCCCGCTACTCGCGACGTTTCAGTACCACGCGATCGGGTCGGAAGTTTGCCCGGAAGTTCGCGCGATTCGAACATCACGAACGCATGGAGACCATTGTGGACAGCTTCGAGGCGGCTATGAGCTTCAACGACGCGGACACCTGAAAGCCGGAGGCGACGGCGCCTGCGACAGTTGAGGATGAAGCATGGCAGATGGTCGGCCAACCAATGTGATGAATGTGAATTTCAACTAAATTATTTTAATTGCTACAAACTACTATTATTACGATTATTATTACCGATTACCGAGCTGTTCTCTCCATACATTTAGTTTCCTTTTACGCCGATTGCCGTCGCCTCCGGGATCCTTGACTCCATTCGATCGGAGGATTGCGGACGCAGCGCAGGGCACGCATTTAGTTTAGAGCTTAGTTTTACGCCTACGCCTCTGGGGCGGAGCAGGTGCAGCCGGCCACCGAATGGTTGTTTGCTCCACAGACAGAATGATTCCAATAAATGCACAAAACGTGTTGTATTCGAGAAGAGAAATTAATCAACAATGATTTCTTTACTTTACCAACTGGGTTAAGGTGTTTTTGCTGAACTATTAGATAATATAACAAAATACAAAAAAAAAAATTAGGGGTTTATGTCCTTCTGTCTTTATTAACGACTATTTACAACTAGTTCCGAGAACTGATCTATGCTTTGGAAGCCCAAACAATAACAGTTAATAATTTGTAGAATGCCTTAAGCCTAATTCGAATAATTACCAGAGCTTACACACGCTCTGTGAAGAAGTTTGCCATCAGGTTTTCCTCCAGCTGAGCAGGATCGGTGACTGGCATGCGGCAGACACGGTCGTGGCAAATGTATACTGTTGTCTTTCCATTGACCATCTTGAATTTCTTTTGCACCCGCTGGTTGCAGGCCTCGTCTGGATGCAGGGGATCCACGTGCAGGATTATCATGCCCGGTATGTAGAACTTACGGCAAATCTCCACGAAGCGCTCAGTGTCCGGGGAATCAGGTCCCACCACGGCCACCAGATCGAGTCCGTTCTCGTAGAGCAGCAGGGCAGACAGCATTTCCGGCAGTGCATGTCCGAAAGGAGAGACATCAGCAAAGAAGTTCAACAACTTTCCAGCCCGCTCAAGATATGCCTCCTCGTCGTAATAGTGCGACAGCAGGGTGAGATTACGGGCGGAGACGCTGTTGCCGCAAGGCTCCGCTCCATCGTGGTCTTGAAATGGAGAAAGAAATTAGAGGTTGCAACCTTTAATTCCGTTTCTCTCTAAATTACCTTCCTTTAAACGCACAATCACATTGGGTGCATTTTGCTGCGAAAAGAAATAGGCTCCGTTTAGGTCGTCCCAAAACAGTTTGTCCTGCGTCTCCTGCAGCTCCTTGGCCCAACGCAATGCGCTGAGATCCAAGGAAGCCTTGTAATAATCCAGCAATCCCTTGATGAGAAAGGCATAGTCGTCCAGGAACCCATCTATATGGGATCTTTAAAAGGGAAAAACATTATTTGATGAACTACAAATTTCTTACTTCACATTCAACGTATGTGTGGCTTCTGATTGTTTTAATCTTATAAAATAATGCTTTCAGCAAAGGACTACTCACTCATTCTTCTCCAGAATAGCATCCCCAACGGCCACCCCGTAGCACGAACGGATGAGTTGCTTGCGCTCCGGATCGTACATTTCCTTGCGTAAGAAGTCTAAGAGTTCCTTTGCTGCTTGCATATATTGCTCCCGCTTGGCCGTACCGCAGTTGGCCAACTTGGAGAGCCCCGAGAGCACCAGGCCATTCCAAGCGCATATAATTTTGGTGTCCAGATGCGGCCGCGGCCGCTTGTCCCGCAACACGTGCAAGACGTCATTTGCTGTATCCAGCAGCTTTTCCAGTTCCTCTGCCTGCAAGTTGAAGTTGGAGCAGGTCTCCTCGTCGGATCCTCGCACAATAAGTATGTTCTTGCCCGTGAGGTGGCCGTGGGGATCGCTGTACGCAGGCACATTTCCCGGCGGCTTCAAGCCATAATGGTAGGCATAAATTTCAAAAGCTCGCTCGGGCGACATGTCCCCAAACCTCGTGGCATGTCCCTTGAAGGCAGCCTGAATCTCGTCCCATGTCCAGGCGTAGAAGGCTCCTTCTACTTTCACAGTATCTTCGTGAGTAGGCAAAGAATCAGCATCTTCACCGGCATAGAAGCCGCCCAAAGGATGCCGAAGGTCCTTAAGCAAATACTGGTAGATTTTGTCCGCATAGCCCAGGAAGGTTTCGCTCCTGGTCAGCTTGTAGGCATTCGCAAAGGCCGCCATCAGCTGACCTTGGTCATAGAGCATCTTTTCAAAGTGAACGTTCTGCCAATCCTTAGTGGTTGCGTAGCGAGCAAAGCCGCCGAATATATGGTCATTGATGCCACCTCGGCCGATGTGATCCAGTGTCTGCAGCACCATGTCCAGCACATCCACATCCTTGGTAACGAGATAGCCATGGAATAGGAAATTGAGACGTGGAACCTCCGGGAACTTGGGCTCGGAACCGAATCCACCATGGGTCTGATCAAATCGCTGCTTATGGACGTTGATGGCTTCGGATAACTTGGCCTCGGCACTTCCCGGCTCGAAGGCTGCTTCAGCCACAGCCGAGGCATTCTGGTTCTTTTGCAGTGCGCTCAACAAAGTGGAACCCGCCTGCATTAGGGATTCCTTATCGGTTCTCCATTTCTCGGCAATGGATTCCAGCACAGCGCCAAAGGAGGGCATTCCATAACGGGATTTCGGTGGGAAATATGTCCCTGCCACCAAAGGAGCCAAGTCTGGGGTTAGCCAAACGCTCATAGGCCAGCCACCACTGCCCTTGGACATCAGAAGGAACTGCATGTAGACTTTGTCGATGTCCGGACGCTCCTCCCGATCTACCTTGATGTTCACAAAGTACTTGTTCATAATGGCTGCCGTTTCGGAACTCTCGAAGGATTCGTGCTCCATGACATGGCACCAGTGGCAAGTGGAGTAGCCTACGGACAGAAAGATCAGCTTGTTTTCACTTCGAGCCTTCTCGAATGCTTCCTCGCTCCAAGGATACCTGAAATGGAAAATATTATTAAAATGTCATGTTTTTACTATAACACTATGACGCTGAGACGAAAGACGAAGATGAAGAACATTTTCAACCACCTGAGCTTTACTATTCGCCTTTACCAAATTGATAGATTGTTTTGAATATCCCCCGACTTACCAATCCACTGGATTGTAGGCATGTTGCAGTAGATACGGCGACTTGGAGGAGATTAATCGATTGGCTTGCTTGGGTGACTGTTCCTTGGATGCTTCTCCTCCGGTGGCCATGCCTCTGTAGTCCTGACTGCGCCACAAGGACACTTTGTTAGTATATCTTACATAACCAAACATATCCGGGGCTTACCCGCTAAGAGTTGGGTAAGTTCGCTCTAGGAATTCCAGCCTCCGTCCGACAAATTTTGACGTATCCGCCTGAAGTTTCTGCGTTGTTTTCAGAGTGCTTCGTATCCAGGGGAGGAGTGATCTGGCCCTGAACATAGCAAATCGATCGGGATAATCAGGACGCGCTTGGCTTTCACTGGGCCAAAGCCAATAAAACTGCAACGTGTGACGCGACTTGTTTTCGTTTGCTTTTTGTTTTGTTTTTGTTTTTAATATTATTTTGCATATCGAAGTGTGACCGTTGTCAAGCCCTTTAAATATACCGACGGACTTTTCGGTAAAATATACTAAACTAATTATCGTACTAACCCGGTTAGGCTTTCATTCGACTTCGTTATAAGCTTCATATTTAAAAAAATTTAAAAGTACGTTAGATTGGAATAATTCCATGTCCTGAGAAGGGTATTTGTTCCCTTTTATATTCCAATAATACAAATGAGTTTAATTTAACCATATACTTTTATTCATCTTTTGAAGAGATCTGATCTTTATTGCCTACTTTCAGGATACCTATTTAAATTATTTCCAACAGAAAAGTTAGTTTCAAGAAGCCACAGTTTGTAGTAGCATAGGAATTATAAATCATAACTAAGCCAAAAACGGCATTAAATTCGAATCGGATATCTATGGTAGTTTTTAGCAGATGAAGCACATTGATTTAAAAATGTAGAAATATGAAATTTGTTTTTTTTTTTTTAATTTTTGACAATTTTAACGCTGTAACCCCTTTTAAAATTTAAAAAAATTGGGTAAATTTTTTTTTGTGGCATTGCAGAACGAACCGGCTGCTGATGCTGATCAAGAATATATATATATTTATAGGGTCTGAAATGACTCCTTCACTGCGTTTTAAGTCTTTGAGTCAAGCATAAAATATCTGTATATATAAACTTGAAATACTTAAGTTTCCATGATTTTTATTAATGCATACAATATATCTTTGCTTTGATAATTATGTAGAAAATGCTTAAATGCTATGCGGCCGATACATAGAATAATTAACCTACTAGCTAATTGAAAATCACAAATGAACATACAATATTTATACATTATAGTGTGGGTGTGGTAATTAAGCACATTGTTTTAAACTAATACACATTACGGACTGCGAACTGCAGACTGCGGACCTGACTGGCGGATCTCTGGGATCAGAACTCTACCGATCGGCTCTCAACTTTGAGTTGACAGCTGGGAGAATCGAAGCGCCAGGATCAGATCGGCCAGGCTTTAGCAATCGCTTTGGACTAGCGCATCGCCGAGGGCCTCCAGCTGCTCCTCGCTGCCCTTGATCCTCTCGGCCAGGTCGCGTGCATCGGCAATCAGCTTAGCCTTCATGTTGATGAAGTAGTCGTAGTCGGCGCACAGATCCGCACTGAGGTTCTTGCCCAGCAATCCGGCGATGCTGGTGCCGCGCCGGTCGATGTCCGCCTTGAGGCGCTGCGCCTCCTCCAGCTGCTTGTACAGAAGATCCCGCTTCGTCTCCAGCGCACCCTGTTAAATTAATAATAATTATTTATTAATAAACAATCAAGTTAGTAATTTAAATAAAGTAAGAACCCACCTTTTCATGCTGGCGCGTTTCCAGGCTACTCTCCGTCTGGGCCAGCCGCTCGGAGAGCGACAGCAGCAGGCTGGTGATGTCACCCACGTCGTCGACGTAGGTGCGGAACTTGGACGCCTCGCTGGGCCGCACCTTCTCCGCCAGCCTGGCGAAGAGGTCCTGGCCCAGTTGGTCATTCGCCGAGCTCTCCTCGCAGATGGTCTGCTGTTCGCGCTTCAGGGAGCCAATTTTTTGGTTCAAATGCTTAATGAGCTCGTCCTGGAAGAGGATTTACGATTTGATTAAATATAAAAAAAAAATAAATATTGTATTAAGTCCAAATGCTCACCAGCTTCTGTTTGATTAAATTCGTGGACTCGCCGCCAGACTCTCCGAGCTGCAGCTCCACACTGACCACCTGGACCTCCGTGGTCGCCAGGACCGACTTCATCCGCATCAACGTGGAGGTGCCCACGTCCCGCTTGGCCAGCCGAAGTGGCACGTCCGGATTGTACAGATTGCTGACGTAGTGCGAGGTGGGCTTGCAGCTCTTTGGTGTGAGGATGTCGGCTAGTTTGTCGCCCGGCGACAGGAGCTTCACCAGCTCCCGGCTCATCAGCTCGTAGTCCAGTTCGATGGGCTGACGCTGGCGCGGCTGCAGAGTGGTTCGTGTCTGCTGCTCTTCGCGAGCGGCTTCGAGGTCCGTGTCCCGATCCTCCAGCTCATCGGTTTGGCAGGCCATATCCGTTGTGGTGGGCTTGGGGTTCGGTTTGGGATTCACCATTAGCACCAGTTCGCTGCGCTGCATCAATTGCAGCTCCTTGACTTCTTTTTCCTTGGCGGGCATATCATCCTCTTCCAGAGGCGGTGGACTGGGCGGTGGCGGAGGTGTCAGCAGTGGTTCGTTAAGGAAACTGGCAGTGGGACTGGTTATCATGGGGCTGCTGTAGCCACCGAGGAGGCCAGTGTCGCAGAGATGCGCTGACATTAGCTGTGACTGGAGTTGGGTGATCTTCTCGATATTCTCCCGCAGAGACTCCTGTCGATTCATGGCCGGCTTGGCTGGTGCCGTCATCGTGTTTGTGTTTGAGTTCAGGGTGGTGCTAATCACCTCGGCGCGGAAGATGTGCGCATCGGGCTTAGGAATCGCGGCCGCTATAGGATTGGGGATGCACTCCAGCGAGCTGGTGCTCAGACTGCAGTCCGAGTGCGAGGAGGCCGGCGAGAGGCGTGGCGGCGTGGGCGTGGGCGTGGGCGTCGGAGTAGGCGAGGCGGTGGGCAGCACCTCCTCCAGCGTCGTCTCGAGGTCGTGGGCGGCTTGCTTGAGATCCACATGGGACTGGGTCACCAGCGGCGACATGCTCACCGCATTCGTTTGCTTCACATCGTACGACTGAGATCTCGTGTATTGCTGCTGAGCGATTTGTCCTGGCTTCGTGCTCTTCCCATAACCCTGGCCCAGAACTGGCGTAGAGTATCGCTGGCCACCGTAATACGGTGGCGTGCCACTCGTCGGGGAATTCCCGGTCAGGTTATTGTTGGAACCGTATCGCAGGGTCACGTTGGCATCGCCATTCGGTGAGCCCGGCTGCAGCTTTGGCTGCTGCTGGAGCTTAACGCCCAGGGGCAGGACATCTGGTAGGTTGTTGGGCAGCTTCCCGCTCACCCCGTAGCTGGGCTTTGTGTGGGCCACCAGGTCCTCGTTGGAGGTCAGAGTGAGCTTGTAGATGCCATGGTCCGGATCTGTGTTGTTCAGCTTCTCCAGACTCTGGCGCGGCAAATACGAGGCCTTGGAATTCGATCTGTAAGATAGTCAAGGGGAATTTATTAGTTGGGGTATATCAAGGCAGAGAATTCATGTTTGATGGAAATTTCTTATAAGATCTATTCATTGCACTGATAAATTCTTCAAAAGAGAGATATTTAGTCACCCCTTCATTTTTGTTTAGATATATTTTAGCTCATTAAATTAAAACGACTTGAGATTGTTGGTTTGCAAAAAATAAATCAAAGATCTGGGCTCAGTTTCCAGCTGGGATTTGCAAACCTATTCTCCTTGTTAGAACCGTCTTGCAACGCCCACTGGCACTGCCATTAAATGAAATAAAGGCTGGGTGTCTTGTCAGTTGGCTGGCCAAAATGCCAGCTGCCCGGGGTCAGCCGTGGGGGTCAGCGGCAGTAGCCACCACGATTTGCAGTTAAAAGCTGTAAGACCAACTGACTGTTCCCTCACAGCACTCGGCACGGGCACGTCTCATTAATGCAAATGAGAGAGAGACCATAATCTGGACAGATGCTAATTGAGTCCTCGACTGTAAGGAGAGGAGATGCTATCTGTATCCCGAAGCACCCACATATCGTCATATTGCCCTCTTATAAGATGGAAGCGAAAGCGTCGACGACCGAGGAAATTATTCTGTGCACGATGCGCGATGTGTTAAACTGATTTCGGAGACACAGAGGGCACAAAAAGGCGGAATAAAAACGAAAGTGAAATGTTTACAGTGCAATTATAAAGAGTTTTATGTTTCAGTTTCGGTTTCGGCTACGGCTACGGCTACGGCTTGAGAAGAGCGAAAAAAATTAAAATAAAAATAAATGCAGAGACGGGGGCCCATTTTAGTGTGCAAAGCGTATGACGGCCACGTCCGCTTCCCGTCCCTTGACAACTTTCAAAAGTGCTAAACTAATTTGTTATGTTTTTGTGTACATATCATCGCGCTCGGATTTATTGTAAAAGGCTTTTGTTTTGTGGGGATTTTGAGACTTTTTGGCGCATCTCTTTCGGTTCGGCTTGGCCACCCCCAGGTTGGCAAAATCTTTATTGTTTCTGCACACATTACATCCATACCATACATATGTACATATATATATATATATAGCCCACATGCGGTATATAGTATAAAAGGTGTTTTGCATCTGAAGAAAGCCGTCGAAGAAATGTTGTCGCATTTGCATAAATTAAGAGCGGTGTGGGGAGTGGGATATATGTACATTTGGGACTGGCTTACATCACACGGCTAGACAAAACAGCTGTTGGCCATAGCTGTAGCTGTCGCTCTATCTGTATCTGTATCTGTATCTGTGGCCAACAGTTGCAGATGTATCTCGTGGCTAGTTAGCATTTGCATAAGCCAGTCTTTTGTGTCTAGGCTGATGCTCCACCGCTTCTTCCCTCACTTTCTTCGCCGCCAAAGAGAGCTTTCCTAATCACTTCCGTTCCCCGCACGTTGAGTAAGTCTCCTTTACTTCTCTGTTGCCAATTTGGCCAAGACAAAAGGCCTGAAAGCGGTTGCATTAGCATGGATTTGCATATCGGGCCGATGACATCACAAGATTTAATTAAGAGCATATCTTGTTTTAAGCTCAGAACATACAGATTGCATCTTGTGTCTAGAGAGAGAGATCATATCTCTTGTTTGCTTGTAACTTGTAATCTAGGGACCACAACATACATAGATAAGACCTTGAATAGCGGACCCTTGTAATCTGACCAGAATTCCTCTCGGGTCTTATCTGACATAAGCTCATTATAAATACCCACTCTTGTACACTCCCTCAATGTAACAGCTTTATTATGATTCACAGATGAAAAATACCTTTATTTTTTTGCCCGCTAATATTGTATAATTCCCAAAGACAATGACACAAAATCAAAAACGAACAGCCGAAAGAAAGGGTCAAAAGAAATGCTCGGAACACTGGGCTAAATACATTTCCATACAATTAACGCATATTTTATTTGTATATTTGTATATTTGCCTATCTTTTCCCCCTATTTGGCATTATTAAGCCGAGCGCGGGGCGTTCCATTTGGTTATGTGATGCAAATTATGAATAGCAGCAGTCACAGAAAAAAATTGATAAATTGCTTCGTCTTGCATAACTCGATATTGCTACGAAAATAAACCGTTGGATATACTATATAAAAAGGCTGATTATCTTCAGGCGGGTGGAAAGCCCTACTTTAACTATAGAATTTCTATGGCGCCCCCGGGTGGGAAGAAACCATTATGTGGGGTTCACTGCCACCGCGCTGTCGTTGCACTATAATTTTTGATCAGCAATATAACGAGCTGTTTGCTGGCCGACTAGTTTTCGTTGATAGTAAAAGTATTTTATTTAAATATGCCGACAACGACAGCGACAACGATGGCGCTGGCTCTGGCTCTGGCGACGCATGGAAATCACGTTTTTAACATCTCGTCTTAACATTGAACCGAAAAAAAGGCGAACAAATGTTCAGTTGCTGCTGCTGCTGTTGCCGTGTTGCTGATGTTGCTGTTGCTGTTGCTGCTGCTGCTGCTGCTGCTTTGCTTGTTGTTGAAAACATAAACATCTCACAAGCTCAGCCGAAACCGAAACCTGAAAACGAGTTTGTCGGCACCGCATCGCATCGCACACATTTTCACTTGCCGCAAAATGACGTCAAGTCAACATACAAAATACAAAAAAAATCAAAATAAAGTAAAACAAAAACAGAAACAGCACACAACAACAACTACAAAAGATGGCCGTCGGCGCAGTTAGCTTTCTTTGCAGGGAAGCTTGGGAAATTCAAAGGGGGGAAAGAAAAAAAAGACTTTCCAGAGAGGTCACAGCCAGAACAAATCACACTTGAGAGACTCTTTTTTTTACCCTGTTATTTAGGCAGAGACAGTCCGTCAAGGTAGGCCATAAATTTCTCTCGGAAAACGCCAAGAAAAACATCAGCAGCAGCACCAGCAGCAGCAACATCATTATCAGCAACAGTAAACACTAAAAAAGAAAAGTTCTCTCTAGCTCTATCTTTATCTGCTGATGAAATACGTTAGCTAAGTGGCCATCTGCGCTTGAGATTTTCATCTGGAGGCTGTGCAGGCAATTACTTCTAACCTTCTGCCGCAGAATCTTACAATTTTCCCCCTTCGCCGGGCCGCAACCCAAATCCGATTCGAAAACTTTTCCTCTCGAACAATTTCTGCCTGTTCATCTGCCTCGTGATCGGTCTTCAATTGTCTGGTTTTCTGATGTGTCTGTATGATTTCAGTTTTGCCGCTTTCTGGTTTTCTTTTCTAATGGTGCAGCAGCATCAGCTACTGCGTCTGCTACTGCCGTGTTGCCAGTTGCTAGTTGCTAGTTGCTACTGTGTTGCTGCCTGATTGCTGCCTGCCAGCCGCTCGGCAATAATTATGATCCATTAATTCTGGCAGCAGCAGCAGCAACAATAGCGGCTTGTGCAATATTTTTAATGTAAAATCGATTTAATAGCGCTTTTCGCTCCAAGGCATCTAGCGAGCACCAAAAATAGATAGCTTGGGAAATGCAGCAGCACAGCAACAGCATCTTGGCCCAGCCCCCCATTGAAAGTGTCGAAAGTGGTCGGCCTGTCCCATTGAATCGCGGATGAAGCGGGGTAATTAACTTGTGGGCTAAACGGCCCCAGCTCATCATAATTACAGCTAAAAAGATGCCAGCAACCAGGGGGCAGAACACGGCAGCAACATAAGTTGCAACTTGCAACCAGCAGCGGCAGGCAGGAAAAATTACAAAAAAAAAAAACCAGCAGGAAAATAACATGTGTGCGCACTGGACTACGACAGCAGCAAACAAGCTTGTAAATAATTCCAGGCCCCGCCTCCGCCGCACTTTAAATAGTAACTTTTGATATTCGCAAAGTTGCGTTTGCATAAAACAAATTATTCAGCCAAGTGCGGGCCTTTTGTCTGCCTCTTGTTGATAGGGGATCGCAGAGGAAGTGCCAGATTCAAGGGGTTAACACCAAGAGAAACATTTATACAAATATTTAAATAAAATGTATTAAAACGAATAAATAATAAATAAAATAAAAAGTCTTGTGTGGATAATATCATTATCTGAATATTATTTATGATACAAGATCTTTCTGTTCTTTTATAGCCCAAATTAAATCGCTGTTACTAGTCAGAGAGATGTTAAATTTGTTATACTATTTTTCTTGCTGTGTAAAAGGGGCTTCGGGGGAATCCACTGCTAATATCCGCGACACATCTGCCAATGACATTTTCACTCTCAGCCCACTTGGCATATAAATTGTACACACGGCGAATTGTACCCTCGGGCGCATGCGCAACACGTCCGCCATGGCCGGATCAGTCGGCGGATGGCGGCTACGGCGGGGTCTTTAGCGGAGCAGCCGCAGGGGCAACGGTGATCGCTACAAGACTTTGAGCCATTTGCGTTATTTTTGTCTTTTTCTTTTTTTTCTTTTTGTCTCTTTCCTGGGTTTTGTTGGGTTTTGCTATGTTTTCTGTAGTTTTAGATATTACACAAAAGCCGCTGTTTGGCGTCCGCCGATGTCGAATGCCAAAGTGTTGCGGCCATTGAAGGAACTGCCCTGAATACGGATTTCTCATTGTTTTTAGCCAACTAATTTCAGGCAGAGACAGAGGCCGAGAGAGCGCGAGATAATGGTCGAAAGAGTGAAGACACATTTACTTGTTAGCCAAGATCCGGCGGCGGGAGAAATGAAATGGCTAGAAAAGCAAAAGCAAAAGAAAAGAAAAGCTAAGCATGCCAAGCGGCTTTTAATTTCTTAATAACAGAAAATTTCTCAACAAACTGCAAAAAAAACAATGGATAGACTTTAGTGGAATTCTGAATTTTAAAGGCGACAAAACTGGCGAGAACTTCCGCGGTTACACCATAAAAGCTAGTTGGTTGTTTGTCATGATGAACCTTCATTAGCTGTTAAGTGAAGTGTCTATGAATATGAAGTTTTGACGATCTGAAATGATGTCAGCAATGCAGAAATGCAAGTCAAGTGGAAATTTGCAAGCAATTT